GCTTCTATAGAGAACAGAGCAGGTGGAAATGATGGAGAATAATGTGAAAAATGAACAGCATTCCATGGGGCTGCCAGGGAGGTCATAGAGCAGGTAAAACCTGCAGCTGAGGAGGACAGAGGCTATTTGAAGAGCTGAGAAAAAAGTGTCCAGGCAGAAGGATCCGTAGCTGCCAAGTCCTTGAGTTTGGGAGCATCTTAGGGAGTCACTGGGGTGCAGGGAACAACAGGGAGAAGGCCAAGGTAGGGAACTTGCATTTTATTCTGGGAGGTTCTAAGCAGAGGTGTGCCATGGTCTGATTCACAATTTTAAACAATCCCCCAGAATGCTTTGCAAGAGACCCTGGGTGGTACAAACTGTTAACCCACTCAGCTGCTAACCCAAAGGTCAGAGGTTTGAGTCCATCCAGAGGTGCTTTGGAAGAAAGCCCTAACAATCTATTACCAATAAACAAATCCGCCACTGAGGTCCATACGGTGCGCATTTCTACTCTGACACGCACGAGGTTAACCATCTGCTGTGCAGAAGGAAGGTTTCAGAGGGAGCTATTATTGCAGGAAATTCTTTCTAGTAGTCTCTGCTTTTAGCCAAGATCCATCTGACATCACAATGATATTCCTTATTTCATGTCCTCGCCTGAATCCAGCATGAACCTCTGGAAGTTCTCTGTCAATGTACATTTGCAGCCATTTTTTAAATTATCTTTAGCAAAATTTTACTTGTCTGAGATATCAATGATATTGTCTGATTAATTCCGCATTCTGTTTGGCCACCTCTCTTTGGAATAGGCATAAATGCAAACTTGCTAGCTGAAAATGAAGAGGACTTAAAATATTTACTGATGGAGATCAAAGATATGGGTTGTACCTCAGTGTAAAGAAGGCAAAAATCCTCACCATTGGGCCAATAAACAACATCCATATAAATAGAGAAAAGATTGAAATTGTCAAGAGACTTCATTTTGCTCAATTAACCATCAGCACTCATGGAAGCAGCAGTCAAGAAATCAAACAACATATTGCATTAGGCAAATCTGCTGTACAAGACCTCTTTAAAGTGTTCAAGAGCAAAGATGTCAGTTTGAGGACTAAGGTGAGCCTGACCCAAGCCGTGGTATTTTCAATAGCCTCATATGTATGTGAAAGTTGTACAACAAATCAGGAATATCATAGAAAACTGATGCATTTGAGTTATGATGTTGAAGGAGAATATTGAAAATACCATGGACTACCAAAAGAACAAACCAGTCTGTGTTGAAAGAAGTAAAACCAGAGTGCTCCTTGGAAACCAGGATGGGCAGACTTCGTCTTTCATACTTCAGACATATTGTCAGGAGGAACTAGTCCCTGGAGAAGGATATCATGTTGGGTAAAGTGGAGGGTCAGAGAACAAGAGGAAGACCCTCAACGAGGTGGGTTGGCACAGTGACAACAGCAATGGGCTCAAGTGTAGCAATGATTGTGTGGTTGGCGTAGGACCTGGCAATGTTTCACTTTGTTGTACATAGACTCACTGTGAGCCAATACCGACTTGATGACACCTAACAACAACAACAAAAACAACTGCAGGGACTCCAGGCATGAGATGGTGGTGGCCCAGACCAGGGCAGGCTCCTTCACAATGGAGAGAGGCAGGCTAGCTGGAGATCTGTGTTGGGAAGAGAGCAGCTGAGGCCCTGCTCCCTGCCGTCTGCCATGCAGAGGCTCTGAGGGCTGCACGGGCTTGTCTGTCATGAACTCTCAAGCTGAGAAGCTGCCTCACTAACAGCTAGTTGTGTGAAGAAAGGTGATGCCCCTTTCACAGCTGAGGAAACCAACGCTCAGAGTTTGGTAAAAGAGTCCACATCAGTCAGACAGTGTTGATACGCGGTTGCACACGTATCAAATTTCATATCCACCCTGGGATCACCTCACTCTGCTAGTAGACAGGGTGAAACGAAAGACACAGGAAATAGTTTCCTTATCTGAAAATGTTGTTGTTGTTGTTGTTGTTATGTGCCATGGAGTCGATTCCAACTCACAGCGACCCTATACAGGGTTTCCGAGGCTGTAAATCTTTACAGGAGCAGAATGCCTCATCTTTCTCCCGCGGAACAGCTGGTAGTTTCGAACTGCTGACCCTGAGGTTCGCAGCCCGATTTGTAACCACTATGCTACCAGAGGGACAAATAATACTTGGCCTCCTGGGGTTATGTTGAGGTTATGTACGAAAGTGCCCCTAGAGGTTGCTTAATGAGTCTTTCTTGTGGAATAGCTATTGTTGAGTACATCCTGACTCACAGCAGCCCTCTAGGGCAGAAAACAATGATCCTCTTGGGGTTTCCCAGGCTACGAGCTTTACGGAAGCAGACTGCCACATCTTTCTCTCTCTGACAAGCTGGTGGGCTTGAACCTCAGACCTTTGGGTTAGCAGCCAAGCACTTAGCCACCAGACCTCTTTGGTTGTGGAATCTAGGCTTAAAAGATAATACAGCTCTTTAGTTGACTGTCTTTGCAGCATTGAATTGAATTGATTATTTTTTTTAATCTCACACACAAAAAGAATAATATAAAAACATCAAAAGACGTTTTTAAAAAGGATCCCTGGTTGTTGTTGTTAAACGCTGTTGAGTCGATTCTGACCCATAGCAACCTTATATAGGGTTTCCAAGGAGCAGCTGGTGAGCTTGAACCGCCAACCTTGCAGTTCAAACGGCTTTGCAGTCTGGCACATTAACCCACAGCGCCACCCCAGGATCCCTGTACAAGGTCTCTATGAGTTAGAACCGACTCAACAGCACTTAACAACCTCAAAAACAAATCCTCCTCATTAACATCAACTCACGCACCCCGAAGGTTCCTGTCTCATCTTTCCAGTTGCTGTTGTCCATTGGCTCCCATGTGGATAGTTCTTAAAAGAGCCTCATGCTCGAGGCAGACTGTTTTTACTAGTTAAGTTGAACTATTGCTGCATCTCCGTGTATTTGTTGAAGAAATGGGGTTTTTATCCTGTTGAGCACCTCACAGTCTAGATCTTGCTGACTGGCTTTCTGTGGTGTCTTTGAACATGTTGCTCCACCCCCGATATTTCCCATAAATGAGAGTGATCATTCAGATCTGATTTTATTTATTTATTTATTTTGCAAGACTGCTTCTGAGGTCATCTGATGCTCTTGCATCAGGAGACACACAGCATCTGGTCACCATTAATACTGACCACCTAAGTCTACTTAACAAATCCATGTATGTCAGGGTAGAACTATGCTTCGGAGATTTTTCAGTGGCTCCTATTTTGAAAGTAGATCACCAGATCTTTCTTCCGAGGCAGCCCAGTAGACTAACCATTTGCACGACTCCATTTAATTCTTTAAGCAAATAAAAAACAAATCCATTGCCATCTAATTCCATTCTTACTCCTAGCATCCCTGCAGGATAGAGGGGAACTCCCTATAGAATCTTCAAAGCCATAAACTGTTATGGAAGAAGACTGTCGTATCTTTCTCAGATGTGGAACGACTGGTGGGCTCGAACCACCAACCTTTTGGTTCATAGCTGAGTGCTTAGCCACTGCACTCACTGGCTGCAATTTGATATTTTAATTGGGTCAGTATTGTGTTATATATGTTATTGTATTGTTGTTAAGTGCTGTTGAGTAGATTCTGACTCATAGCAACCCTGTATGGCTTTATGAGGAGCACTTCCTGGGTTTGAACCACCAATCTTGTAGTTCACAGTCCAGTGCTGATCCTACAGGGTCACATCAGGAGTCTTCAGTTATTAGCTGGGTCAAACTAGAACTCTATTGACAGATATATTGCAAGAAAATAATAAAAGAGAGATGAAGAAAAATTTTCAACCAATTACAACATGTAATATCCAATATCTGGATCCTGATTTAAACAAATAAATTGCTTGGCAGGGGTTGATTATAGAAAGGCATTTATGAGACAACTGGTAATTTGAAGTGAACATTTAATAATATTTAAAAATTGACATTATTTTAAGCACGGTGTTCGTGTTTTTGAGAGTTCTTATTTTTAAAGATAGGCACATTTGTTGTTGTTGTTACTGTTAAGTGCCGTCAAGTTAGTTCTGACCCATAGCAACCCTGTATAGGGTTTCTAAGGAGCAGTTGGCAAGCTTGAACCACTGACTTTGCAGTTCAAATGGCCTTGCAGACTGCTGCATTAACCCACAGCGCCACACCAGGACTCCGTGTACATACAGAAATGTTCACAAATAAAATTGTGATGTCTGAGATTTGCTCCAAAATAATATGGGAGGGAAGGTGCGGGAAGGTTTACAGATGGAGCGTGACTGACCGCCGCGTGACTGGCGATTGCTGAAGCAGATTGATGAGCTTTATTTCTCTAGCCTCTCTAATAGTTTTGTTTGAAATGTTCCGTAACACAAATGAAAACAATCCTTGAATTTTCTGACACTGCATTATGCGGTCAGTATTCAGTGAGCTTTGTTTGAAAGCATTCTTTTTTTCTGTTAACTCATTCCTCTGGGAAACATTTCCAGGACATAGGATAGGAATTCATGTATGGCTTTTCGTCCCCTTGTTTTGAAGTCCCCAACTTTTCTACTTCTACCTTCTCTGCCTTTGAATCCCCTTCTCTCCCCTCTGTCTTGGTCCGTTTTCTCTCTTTATTTAGATTCCTGAGGCTCCCCAGGCCACCTCTCTGGACTCTGCCAGCTTCTTTAAGCAGACACTGCCTGGAGCTGCCCTCTTACTCATCTGGTTCTACAAGACCGTGTATATGAGGCGAATGAAAGCAGCTAAGAAACATCTTTCATAATCCTCAACAAAGCCAGAGAGCTTGAGGCCCAGGCCTCTCTGACGGGAACCTCATCTGTTGCTTCTTCACCAATGCAGGGGCATAGATGGAAGGACCTGTTGCACCCCTCGTCCTTTCTGAGCCTCTCTGTGCAGGCAGCAGAAAGCAGGAAGGCAGAGCAGCAGGCTAGGTGAGGCCTGGGCTCTACCCTACTCTGCAGCGGATGGTCTTCTTTTAGGAACTTCACGTCTATCTTCTACCCCGACTACGGCAACTGCTACATCTTCAACTGGGGCATGGCAGACAAGATCCTGCCTTCCGCCAACCCTGGAGCTGAGTTTGGTAAGTCTTGGCCATGAGACTTGTAACCATGGGGGAGCAGAAGACAAGATGGCCATCAGATGTAAATGGACGGTACTGAGGGGGAGGCAGCTCAAAGAAAAGTGGTTGTTATGAGGGTCTGCTTTGGACCAGGGGAGGCGGGTTCAGCTTCCCTTCCAACCATGCTCTTAATCCTGGGCTGGGGACTGTTGCTCCCATTTTGTGGATGAGCAAAGTGAGGATTTGGAAGCAGCACAGCTTAGGGGTCTGTAGCGCAGATTCCTCGTACCTGGGTCGAATCCCAGCTCCACCAATTGCACAAGTGACACTTGACTTCTGGAAGCCTTCGTGTCCCTATTTAGAGAATGGGTACACAGAATTATTGCTTAGCGGGCCCACTGCGTTGTTGTGCCTGACAAGTTGTGTTGTTGTTAGTTGTCCTCTGGTCAGTCCCATGCCCAGTGGAGAAAGGTACTGCCTGGTTCTGCACCTTCATCCCAAGTGGTGTTGTCATCACGCACAGGGTTTCCACGGGCTGGGGTCTTCAGAAGTATATTGTTAGGCCTTTCCTCATGTTGTTGTTGTTAAGCGCCTTCAAGTCGATTCTGACCCATAGCGATGCTGTGTAGGGTTTCTGAGGAGCCACTGGTGAATTTGAACCTCTGACCTTGCGGTCGAGAGTTTATCCTACGGTACCACTCCTAGTCTGTCTTTATCTGAAAAGTGCTGAAACCTGGTCAGCATCACAGCAACCCAGAATCCTCCACTGACAGACGGCTGGTGGCTAGGCATGTGGTACCCTGGCCAAGACTCAAACCCAGGTTTCTCCTTATAGAGCACAAGAATTCTCAGTGCATGCAAAATGTTCTTGGAAAAATCTGTAGAACTCTCCCAATAAATAACCAACCTCTTACTCTTAACCTCTTGAAGAGGGAAAATCACAGAGAACAAAGGAGCGAAAAGAAGAGAGTGTGTGACTCAGTTGGCTGGGTTCCCTGGGGAAGGCCAGCAAACTTGGGCAGGTCATGCTCTCTGGCTGTGAGCCTGGCACAAGGGGAAGCGAATCCTTTCTCCCACCCCTCCGAGGCCTCAGATATCTTCAGGGCTGCTGAGCTGCCCCTCCTCCCTTCACTGCACCCCTGAACTCCCAGAAGACTGTCCATGTGGCACAGAGACAGATAGGCCCTTATTTCTAAACAACCTTGCACAGGTCCCTTCACCTCTCTGTGCCTCTGTTTCTTCATCTGTAAAATGGGGAGACTGACATGAGTATCCAATAAAAAGCATGTAGCACAGTACTCAGAAAGCAGGTTGATGTTGCTGGGGGCTCCAGAGATGGAGTGTTGGGTGGGCATGCGGTTCTCCTTTGAGGGTGATGAAAATGCTTTGAAACGAGATAGATGTGATGGGTCTACAATATTTGTGAATGTACTCCATGCTCTTAGATTGTACCATTTTAAATGGCTGGTTTTATGTTCTGGGAGTTTCGCCTCAAAAAAAACAAAAAACCACACACCATTATATAAAAATGAAAGGAGACAGCCGATTGCTGAGGAAGGCAGACAGACAATAAAACAAGTGAGGCAGGTGCTTGAAGAAAGACTGTAGGGCCAGGAAGTCCATAACAGAGACCCCCAGCCATAGGTTGTCAGGGAAGGCTCTGGCGCTGAGATCTGAGGGATTGCCTAGGTGAAGGATGAGGATGGGGACGGAATGCAGAGGGAGAGGATGGCAGCAGGAGCCTGGAAGCTAGGAGGGACTGAATGGGGTGGTGGGAATGAGGGCATGTATGTCAGCTGGAGCGGCATGGTGAGGTAGATCGCCTGTGCATTTCCCCCAGGGTTCTTGCTGGGCACACATTCTTCTGTGTGCCATGTGGAACGGGATTATCGGAGGGCTCTGCAGAGATGACAGGGCTTGGGACAGCCTTATAACACTGGAAAAGGCAGGAAGGTTGAGCGGTCAGGGTTTTGCAAAGCGAAGCCAGCTTCTCTAGAAGACCCTGGAGATCCCTTTGGCTGGAATGGGCTTGGACAAGTGGGGGTGGGTCTCCCCTCAACCCTCGGCCTACCTGTCCACAGGCCTGAAGCTGATCCTAGACATAGGCCAGGAGGATTATGTGCCCTATCTCACGTCCACGGCCGGGGCCCGGTTGATGCTGCATGAGCAAAAGTCCTACCCCTTCATCAAAGATGAGGGCATCTACGCCATGGCGGGGACAGAGACTTCCATCGGAGTGATGGTGGTATGGCCTGGCGTCCAAGGGCAGCCTGGGGGGTCAGGGGAGAAAGCCTACCTGCCAAGGGTCTGACCTGAGGGTGGGGGTGGCTGGCTAGAACCCCATCTGCCCAGTCATCCCCTGGGGAAAAGTGAGTTTCCTCAGGCACCCCTCTGCACCTGTAGATCTCCCTCTTCCCAGCATCCCTGGCTCCCACCAACTTGATGCTTCCAAGAGCTACTGGGGAGGGAGGTAGAACAGGGCCTCCGGGAGGGGATCAGAACTCCCACAATCCTTCTGACACAGGACAAGCTGGAGCGCAAGGGCAAGCCGTACAGCCAGTGCACCATGAACGGCTCGGACGTCCCCATCCGAAACCTCTACAGCAGCTACAATACAACCTACTCCATCCAGGTGGGCACATGGTCAGGGTCTCCTGCCAGGCCAAGGCCTCTGGTTTCTGGGGGAGCTGGGCTTGACAAGGCTGGCTCTGCTGGATTTGTGAAGGTGCTGCGATGCAGAAATATTACAAGTGGGGTGGCCTTAACAAACAGAAGTTGATTTTCTCACAGTTTGGTAAGTACCATGGAGTCGGTTCTGACTCATAGTGACCCTGTACAGGGTTTCCGAGGCTATAAATCTTCACGGGAGCAGAACACCTCATCTTTCTCCCATGAAACCGCTGGTAGTTTCAAACTGCTGACCTTGCGGTTGGCAGCCCAACTCGTAACCACTACACTACCAGAGCTCCTTTTCTCACAGTTTGTTGTTGTTGTTAAGTGCCATCGAGTCGATGCCGACTCATAGCTACCCTGTATAGGGTTTCCAAGGAGTAGCTGGTGAGCTTGAACTGCCAACCTTGCAGTTCAATGGCTTTACATTCTGGCGCAGTAACCCACAGAGCCACACCAGGACTCCTTCTCACAGCTTGTTGTTGTTGTTGTCAGGTGCCATCGAGTCGAAACCGACTCATAGCGACCCCATGCACAGCAGAATGAAACAATGTCCGATCCTAGGCCAACCTTGCTACCGCTGCCACACTTGACGCCATCAATGATACCACCTGGCTGATCCATCTCGTTGGGGGTCTTCCTCTTTTTCTCTGACCCTCCATCTTACCCAGCATGACATCCTTCTCCAGCGACTGTTCCCTCCTGACAATATGTCCAAAGTAGGAGAGATGAAGCTTAACCATCCTGGCCTCCAAGGAGCACTCTGACTGCACTTCTTCCAAAACAGATCTATTGATTCTTTTGGCAGTCCATGGCACTTTTAGTATTCTTGTCCAACACCACAACTCAAAGGCATCAATTCTTTTATGATCTTCCATATTCACTGTCCAGCTTTCACATCCATATGAGGTTATTGAAAATACCATGGCTTGGATCTCACAGTTTAGGAGTCTTGAAATCCAAATTCAGGGCACAGGCTCTAGGAGGAAGACTTTCTTTCTCTGTTGGTGCTGAGGGAAGGTTCTCATCTCATTTCAAATCTGTGGACCCAGTGTTCCTTGGAGATTTCCTCATGTCCTGGCATTAATCTTCCTCTGGGTCTAGGAGATTCTTAGCTCAGGAACCCCAGGTCCAAAGGACACGTTTCATTCCTGGCTCTTCTTTCTTGGTGGTAGTAGGTCCCTCTGCTCTCTGCTCACTTATTTAATCTCTTTTATATTTCTTTGGGGTGACCCTATAGTCTATTAAGTTTTTACTGCATTTAAGACAGTCTATTATATCCTGCCATCTACTCGACCTCTTCACTATCTGGATCTCTGTTCCTATATGTTTCCCTTCTTTGACATTGTTAATATTTTGGTCTTTGGTTGGCCTCACAGGTCCTCTGAATTCATTCCTGTAATTTTGTTCCATTCTGAACTCTGCTATCTGTCGACTGAGTTCCAAGTGGTGTTGCCACATCTGTCAATTTCTGGTTGTTGTCTGTTCTTGCTGGTTTTCATTCCAAATAACTCCCTTTAGGATGTCTTGAGGCACTGGATTGGCGTTAACAAAATCTCTTAGCCTCTGTTTATCCTGGAATGTTTTGATTGCACCATCATATTTGATTGACAGTTTTGCTGGATAGATGATTCTTGGTTAGCAATTTTTTCTTTTAGGGTTTTATATGTCTCCCCATTGCCTTCTTGCCTGCATGGTTTCTGCTGAGAAGTCAGAGCTTAATCTGATTTGCTTGCCTTTGTAGGTAACACTTCTCTTTTCCCTAGCTGCTTTTAGTATTCTCTCCTTGTCTTTGATTTTGGAGAACTTGATTATGATATGTCTCAGTGATTTTCTTTTGCGGTCTATCCTTCCTGGGGTTCATTCAGCTTCTTGAATGTTTATCTTCTCATCCTTCAAGATGTTAGGAAAATTTTCTTCCAGAAGCTCTTCAATTATCTCTTCTGTGGACTTCTGTGATTCTTTCTGTTCTGGAATGCCAATAATTCGTAAGTTATTCCTCTTTATGTTATCCAGCATGAATCTTAGACTCTGTTCAGCTTGTTTAATCCTTTTTTCTGCTTGCTCTTCTATCTTAGCAGTATTGAGAAATTTGTCTTCCAGCTCACTAGTTCTGGCTTCCATCTCTTCCATTCTACTCCTTTGTTGTTTCACTGTATTGTCCATTTTTGATATTTTATTTTTAATCATCTGGACTTCTTTTTGCAGGTTTTGGATTGTTTCCAATGCCATATCTATCTTGTTTGATTCCTCCTGTAGCACTTTCCTGCTTTCTTCTTTATTTTCCTCCACCCCTTTTCAGAGCATTTGTTTTTTGTATCATTCTTCTGAATTCCTTCTCAGGCAGATCCAGAGCCTGTTCTTCTACTGAAAAGTCTGTGTCTGCTTCCAGCTCATTTGTCTCAGTTACTTTTTTCTGATTTTGGACATGTGTTGAGATCTTGAGTTGTGTTTTCTTGGACATTTTCAGCAGTTATGTGGGGCTTTAATGCTTAAATGGATGTATGTTGCTTTGTTGTTAAGCTTGTTGAGCATCTCCTGGTGTATATGATCTGGAGATAGGCTTCCCTTTTCATGTGTAATGGCTAGCAGCTGGTTTTGGCTCTTTTCCAGATGGTGGGGTATTACATGGTGTGCTTGTAGCTTGGCTATATGGTCACAGTTGCTGTCTCTTCTTGGGTAAGGCAAGGGCAGACAGCTCCAACCCCTGGAAGAAGAGTGAGGCCAAAAGGACCAAAGACAGAAACAATATAAAAGCAGAGACAGAAACCACCAATTAAAAACAAAAATAAAATTGTGATTGACATTATCCACTGGCATTTGCAGTGCAGACAGGGATAAAGGGTCCTGCCCAGGTCAACTTTGGGGCTGGGTCCCAGAGTCAAGACATCATAAGAAGCAACCTGCAGGTTTCCTCTCTGTGCCATTGGAATACTGTGGGTGCAATGCTGGACCCTTTTGGGGCTGTGCTCCCACCCGTCTAAAGGTGTCTGGATGGGCAATGAGGGCATGATCGAAGTGAAGAGGAAAGATACGTGAAAAATGAAAAGTGAAAGATGAAAAAATTGGTCACACCTCTCCCCCAGACATGCAGCTCTGCAGCTTCTAGCACTGGGTCACTGCCTCCGCCTCTCTTTTATATCTCAAAGAGATCATCTCTAGATATTATCAAACATCTTAAGGCATTGAGTATCTGAGCCTAGGGGCTCAGGACCATAGTCTCAGGGGACACCATGGTCAGTTAGCACAACATAGTCTACAAAGACACTGTTCTACATCCTACTTTGGTGAGCAGTGTCTGGAATATTAAAAGCTCATGAGTGTAGCTATTGGTCTCTCCATGTGCAGAAGAAAGAAGAGTGATGAGAATTGAAGATGCTTGGAATCAACTAGTCCAATGGACTAATGGAACATGTGAACATCAGTCTCCTTAACGCTGAGACCAGAAGAACTAGATGGAACCCAGCTACCACTACCAACTTCCCTGAACAGGATCACTTTAGAAGGTCCTGGATAGAGTGACATAATATGTGGGAAAAAACTCAAAATTATTTTTTTATAAAAAAGATCAGCCTGAATGATGATTCACAGAGGAGATTGTAATCATTGTAATGAAATGATGAGTATAAAACCAATGTTCTTCCATGTAAACTATCACTCAATTCACAATAAAAACTTAGAAAAACAAAAAGAAAGAACCGGGCTTACTGGTCAGAAAGAGACTGGTGGAACCTGAGACTACGGCCTTTGACCACCCTTCAGGTTTGTAAAGGAACTCACCCACTTTCAGCCAAGCAGTTGTTGTTGTTCGGCACCATTGAGTTGGTACCAGTTTATACCAACCCTATGCACAACAGAACGAAACACTGTCCAGACCTGTGCCAACCTCACAACCATTGCTACACTTGAGCCCCTTGCTGCTGCCACTGTGCAAATCCATCTCATTGGTCTTCCTCTTTTTCTGTGACCGTCCACTTTACCAAACATGATATCCTTTTCCAGTGATGAGTCCTTCTTGATAATATGTCCGAAGTATGAGAGATGAAGTCTGGCCATCCTGACTTCCAAGGAGCATTCTGGCTGTACATCTTCCAACACAGACTGTTTTTTTATTTTGTCAGGCCACCGTATTTGTAATATTCTCCTCCAACATCGTAACTCAAATGCATCAATTCTTCTACGATCTTCCTTATTCACTACCCAACTTTCACACACTTATGAGACTATTGAAACGCCATGGCTTGTGTCAGGTGCACCTTAGTTCTCAAACTGACATCTTTACTATTAAACACTTGAAAGAGGTTTTGTGCAGCAAATTTGCCTAATGCAATATGTCATTTGATTTTTTGACTGCTGCTTCCATGAGTGTTACTGGCTGATAATAGTAAAATGAAGCCTTTGACAACTTCAATCTGTTCTCTGTCTATATGGATGTTATTAATTGGTCCAGTGGTAAGGATTTTTGCTTTTGGTTTTGGTTTTTTTTTTTACAATGAGATGCAACTCATACTGAAGGCTGTGCTCTCTGATCTTCATCAGTAAGTATTTTAAGTCCTCTTCTCTTTCGGTAAGCATGGTGTATCATCTGCATATCACAGGTTGTTAGTGAGTCTTCCTCCAGTCTTGATGCCATGTTTTTCTTCATATAATCCAGCTTCTCAAGTTATTTGCTCAGCATACAGGTTGAATAAGTATGGTGAAAGAATATAACCCTGGCGCACACCTTTCCTAATTTTAAATTATTCGGGGTTCCCTTGTTCTGTTCAAACAACTGCCTCTTGGTCTATGTACAAGTTCCTTGTGATACAACTAAGTGTTCTGGAATACTCATTCTCCACAATGTTGTCCATAGCTTGTCATGATCCACATAATTGAAAGCCTTTGTGTAATTAAGAAAGCACAGGTAAACATCTTTTTGGTATCATCTGCTTTCAGCTAAGATCCAACTGACATCACATCCTCTTCTGAATCCAGCTTTAACCTCTGGAAGTTCTCTGCCAATGTATGGTTGCAGCCATTGTTTAATTATCTTTAGCAAAATTTTACTTGCATGAGATATTGCTGATATTGTCCAATGATTTCTGCATCCTGTTGGGTCACCTCTCTTTGGGATGGGTACAAATATGGCTCTCATCCTGTCAGTTGGCCAGGTAGTTTTCTTCCAAATTTCTCAGCATAGATGAGTGTCTCCAGTATTGCATCATTTTGTTGAAATATTTCAATTTGTATTCCATCAATTCCTGGAGCCTTGTTCTTTGCCAATGCCTTTACTGTACCTTGGACTTCTTCCTTCAGTATTATTGGCTTTTGATCATAGGCTGCTTCTTGAAATGGTTGAACATCGACCATTTCTTTTTGGTACAGTGACTCCATATATTCCTTTCATTTTCTTTTGATGCAGTAGATAGGTATATAGGAACTATAGTAAGGTTCCCTATGAATGATAGAATTGTCAATCATTCAAATCAAAGGGATGGGAAGGTGGGTGGAAGGAAACTAGGAACCACAGGGAGGAGGAAGCAAGATGACTGTTATTCCATGGTGGGGATGACAATCATTGAGATGAAACAAAGTACAGGATTTGTTGAATGTAAAATTGATGATCTGGTCTGTAAGCCTCCACTTAATGCACACACACACAAAAAAAGAGAGAGAGAGAGATGGATTCAATGTACAGCCTCATCCAGTAGATTGCACCCAACCTCAATAACATAACTATGGCTATTATTCATCCATTATTGCCTCACAGAAGTGTGGGAAGGGACAAAGGCGGTACTCTATGAAAAGCCTTGGGAGATCCCATAAAGGGACCCCTATAATCCCGAATATCCCCACGGACATGCCTGCCCAGGTGGGGCTCAGTCCTGGGCCCTGGCTAACACCCAGGATTCTGCTGGTTTCACAGTGCCAACATGCCCCAGGGTCACTGATATGGACTGAATCATACCCCCCCCCCCCCCGCAAAAAACATGTGATTAGACCATGATTCTCAGTACTATGTCATTATCCTCCATTCCTATATTGTAAATCCTCACCGTTTATGTTGTGACGTCATGCTAGAGCTCTGGTAGCCTAGAGGGTTATGAGTTGGGCTGCTAACCACAAGGTTGGCAGTTTGAATCCCCCAGCCACTCTGTGGGAGAAAGATGAGGCTTTCTGTTCTGTAAAGATTTACAGCCTGGGAAACCCATTACAGGGTCATTCATTAAGAGTGGAACTGACTCCAAGGCACACAACTCCCATCACCACCATGATGTTAATGAGGCAGGACTAGTGCTTACCCCACTGCCGCAGTGCCCAAGGAGCCCACACTAAGTTGGGACCATAGAAGGACAGGGCATGCATGCTAGCCTGGGAAGATCGGAGCAGGCACACTTGCTGGTTCCAGGAGCAGAGCGCTGCTGGAAGGTTCTATGGAGGGGTGGGTTGAGTTGAGCTAGGTGGAGAGCAGGGGTGTGGGTGGATGTATGAAGCATGTTCAATCCCAGAAGCCTCGTGGCCAGAGGTTAGGACACTGGCAAAGTGGGAACATGAATAACAATGGCTTCCATTTACTAAGCACTTGCTAAGTGCCTGATGCTGAGTGATTACCCACGTCAGCTCACTGAACCTTCCAGTGGTGGCAGACAGATGCATCTAGTACCTTCTTTCATCTGTGAGGAGCAGTCAGCCTGTCCTTTCCTCCTCAGCACCCAGGAGGCATGCTGCAGACAGGCCCGCGGCAGCTCACTGCCTCTGAGCACCCAAAGTTCTTCCTTCTCCTTTCACCGAGATTTCTGTTCCAGTCAGGGGCACAAGGCAAACCCTTCATCTTCCTCAGAAGGGGGCCAATCTTATACACGTGGAGACTCCTTAGGAGGTGCTAACCACGATCACATTGCCAGAAGCAGGCCTGGTGATCTAGTTAACACAACCAGCCATTGAAAACCCTGGGAAGTACAGCTCTACTCTGACGGCATGGGGTTGACAGGAGCTTTGAAGTCTCTTCCACAGCAACTTTTTTTCTTTAAATCTAAGTGTTAACTTTACTACTGGTGCAAGGCCACCCCCTGTCATGTCGTCTGTGGTACCCTAGCTCTGAATGGTGGTGGGGGTCCAACCTTACAGCAGGGGCTGCTGGAATCTGGCTAGAGCCCCTCTGGAGAAAGCTAGAAGAATGAAGGTTCTCTGTTTCAGCTGAAGGGCAGCTCTCTGGGCTAGACACTAGCCTCTGGCGGTGGGGGTGGGGTGGGCGGGAGGAGGGGGGCTGGGGGGACTGCCCTTGGAATTGGTGTGGTGAGACACCATGCGCATGTCTGTACTTTCATGTCCCTCCCTGTCCCTAGGCGTGCCTTCGCTCCTGCTTCCAAGACCACATGATCCAAAACTGCAGCTGTGGCCACTACCTGTACCCACTGCCCCCTGGAGAGAAATACTGCAACAACCAGGACTTTCCAGACTGGGGTAAGTGGGAGCCCACAGGCCCCGGCACCCTCACTAGCTGGGGCATTGACCACAAAGCCCCTGACCACAAAAGATAAGGCAGCTTTTTCCAGCTCCTTCCTCTGAGCCAGGTGGCCTGGGTCTCCTTTCTGCAGGGGCCAACTCCCTGCCCACCCGAGTCCATGCTTGAATCATGAACGTGTGGGAGGGCATTTGTCCTCATGGACATGTGTGTGTACCATGTGATGTGCCCCCATATTCAAGCCTGGCTGTATGGCTCCCAGTGTGCATTTGTATGTTCACATGTATGTGTGAAGGGGCATTGGTACACCGGGTAGGCCTGTGCTCGGGCCTGCATTGTGCAGTCTGTATACACGTGCGTACAGTGGATATTGGTGGGGAAAAGGAGAAAATCCCACTACTTCTGCAAGCTAACAAACTACTGACAAAAAGGGAAAACTGGATTCCTTCCAGCTGCCCAGCTTTTAAGACCCCTGGGTAGAAACGGGGAGGGTGATTGAGGAGACAGCTGCTCTGGTCTCTACTGAACTGGGTGCCGGATGGCCAGCCTAGGGAGGTTCTCCTGAAGAGACCTTGGATTGCAACCCTTAGCCACCAAACCACAGACCACAGGTTCCCAGGACCCTGGAAATCCCCCTCTGAGCACAAGGAGGACAGAAGGGCCAGCCACTGGCCTGTCTCCCAGCCCCCATGTGGCCCCTGGATTCAAGGGGGAGAAGAAGGCACCAAGAATGACCCCTAAAGTCTTGCCCATTGGCCCTTCTCTCTCTCAGCATACTGCTACTCAGCTCTTCGGAGGAGTGTGAACCAGAGGGAGACCTGCATCAGCAAGTGCAGGGAGTCTTGCAGGTGAGTGTTGGGGGTGGGGAGAGGGGAGGTGGGTTGCGTGCAGGGAGGGCTATGCTGGCAGAAGGAATAATAACAGGACAGCTTCTCTCTTGCAGCGACACCAAGTACAAAATGACCATCTCCATGGCCGAGTGGCCTTCTGAGTCCTCAGAGGTGAGACAATAGGGGCCCAGTTCCCCAGTCATTGGGCTGCATGCTGTCTGGAGCTTTGGGGAAGGATAACAATGGAGAAAGAAATCGTTTCTGACCTCATAGAAACTTCCGTTCTAGTTGAAGAGACAGACAATATACAGGAACACAAATAAGATCATTTCAAAGTGTAAGCATGGCTGTGATGAAACAAGCAGTGACAATATGGCAGTTGGGAGAAGCCATTCTAGAGAGGGTGTCAGGAAGGGACTCAAAAGGTGACATGTGACCTGAACCCTGAAGGATGAGACTGAGCTGTCCATGGGCAGGGCTGAGGGAGCTGCAAGGGCCAAGGTGTGAAAGAGCTAGGGGCCAGGCGGCTGGGCCTATAGGGGCAGTTTGCAGACCTTCTACTACCCGTGCCAACAGCCCTAACGTGGACTTCCATTGTGCTCTACTCCTAAAAGGCTGGGTCTACCTCCCCGTAGGTAGCAAGGCTGGGATAGGGAAGCAGCGGTGTCCTTTTTCACCCCCAGTCACCTTCTTGTTTTCCAGGACTGGATTTTCTACGTCTTGTCCAAGGAGCGGGATCAAAGGGACCAAAGCAACAATAGCTCTATAAGCAGGTGAGGCTGGAGTCTAGGGAAGGCAGACACTGGGAGGAACCAGAGCCTCAGGTGGATGTGGCCACAGGGCAGCTACTCAGAAACCAGCTCACAGTAATCATAGCCAGGAACTAGCCTAGAGGAGGGAGTGAGAGGCAGCCAAGGGATGCAGAGTCTACCACTTCCTTTTAAAGGAAAGCCTGCTCTCCCTTCCGGTCATTTATTTACCCACCCACCCACTCACACCTCCTGCATCCCTCCATCATCCATCTTTTCGCTTGTTCTTCCCTCATTTGTCCATCCATCGTTCTACTCACCCATCCATTCTTCCATCTCTCTATCATCTGTCCTTTCATCCATTAATTCCTTCAGCATCCATCTTTCCACTCATCTATCCTCCCTTCATCCATCCTTCCATTTATCCCATTCATCTACCACTTACCTATATCCATCCTTCCCTCCATCCATCCATTCACCCCTCCATCCTTCCATTAGTTATCATTCCACTTGTCCATCCCTTCATTTACCCATCCATCTTTCCACTAATACATCCATCTATCCTTCTATCTCTCCATTTATCCCCCATCCATCCATTCATGCCTTCATCCTTGCATCATCTGTCCTTCCACTTGTCCATCCCTTCATCCATCCTTCCATTTATCCACCCACCCATCTGTCCACGCACCCATCCATCCATGCCTCTATCTTTCCATCATCCATCCTTCCCCCATCCACCCTTCTGTCCACTTGCCCATCCATCTTTCCATCCTTCTATCACCTATCCTTCCATCCATTCATTCATCCCTCCATCCTCCCATCATTTATCCTTCTACTTGTCCATCCCTTCATCCATCCTTCCATGCATCCACTCATCCATCTGTCCACTTACCCATCCATTCATGCCTCTTTCCCTCCATCATCCATCCTTCCATTCATCTTCCCATTTGTATACTCATTCATCTATCCATCCATCCATCCATACCTCTATCATCCATCCTTGTACTCATCCACCCTCCTTCATCTAGCCTTCCACTCACTCACCCACCCGTCTTTCCACTCATCCATCCACTCATCCCTCTGTCACCAATCCTTCAATCCATCCATTCATGCCTCTATCCTACCATCATCCACCCTTCCACTCATCCATCTTTCCATTAATCCACTCATCTATCTATCCACTCACCCTTCCATCCCTCTAGCCCTCTATCATCCATCCTTCCATTCTTCTTTCTCTTCATCTCTCCATACTTTCAAATGAAGACACCATACTATTAGGAAGCTGGAACCTAGAGAGGACAGAGATGTGCAAACAGGTGATTAAAGTCTGTACCAAACCCTCAGGGGAGGGTCCTCCTGCTTGAAGAGTAAGGGAGGTCTGTCAAGGAAGATGACACTTGAACTGACTGTCCAAGGAAAAGCAGGAACTCTTCAGGCAAATTAGGACAGATAAACATGTCCTGGAAGCATGAGAGAGTAGAGCCTTTTCAGGAACTGTCATGTGGCATGGCGGACCCCACTAGGCCTCCCTTCTCCACTCCATGTCCCCGATAGAGGTGCAGGGCTCAAGAGTCTGCTGCACACAGGTACAGAGAGAGGAGTTCAGAGTTGACTCTTGGGGCTGTCCCATATGTGGACAGGATCAGCAAGAATCCAGTCCCCAGAATGTGAAGACTGGGCCAGTCCTTGAATTCCCACTTCTCCATCCTCATCACTAGCTTGTTCTCTAACTCTTCGCACCCAGAACAAGGCTGGTTCTCACAAGGGAAAAGGACAGCATCCCTCAGTAGGCCATAAAAGCCCCTGTCAGTTGCATGCAATGCCCCACAAGCCCAGGAGCGCATGTGACACCCTTACTGTCTAACCTGCTGACTCAAAGCACATCCTGGGCTTCGAGTCTTTTCTAGAATGACTCACAGAATCCAAATCCACTGTTCCAGGTGTATGAGTACAGGTTTATCCTAACCAAAATAAATACAACAAAGAACTACACAGCGCAAGGTCTGGGAGGGTTCCCAATATGGAACTTGCATGTCCCAAGAGGCACACTACTTTCTCAAGAGCAGATGTGCCTACCAACGAGGAGCTACCATGTTTAGGGTTCTTTTTGATAAGCTCAGGCGTGCCTCCTAAGGAGAGTCGATAGTGGCCTCTCCAGTGTGTCTTTTCTGACCTGGCCAGCCCCGACTCACCAACGTGAATTATTATCAGAAGTGAATAGGAAGTCCTTGACCAAGGCATCCCAATTACTTCAAAGGTTACTTCGCCAGAGCTGAGGAATAAGTCTGCCTTATACAGGGTAAAAAAACCCTAAGACCTGTATCCCACAATAGCCTTTAGAAAACTGGTCAGGATGAGGTTGATAAAGGGACTCTACAACATTGGTGCTGGGCCAAAGTGCCCTTTATGGCCCCAAGACCCAGAGGAGACTGGGGAGCACATAGGGTCTTGCTTGGACATGATAGCCTTCATTGGCGTGGGCATGGAGGAGGACTGGGGAAGTCGGACCGCCTTTCCTGTGCATGCCATAGCCCCAGCCCTTCTTACTCACTTCTATAGGAAGGGAATTGTCAAGCTCAACATCTACTTCCAAGAATTCAACTATCGTACCATCCAAGAGTCACCAGCTAACAATGTAAGGTTTGAAGACTCCTGTTCCCTTGGTCCCCTGAAGGTGGGGAGTGCCCTGAATCCAACAGAGGAACTATGGTGGTCCCTTGCAATCCCAGGTTATTTCCCGGAGCCGAGTTGGTCAGTTTGTATCCTTCACACCCAACAACCCATCTCTCAGGAAATAGAGACTGTGCTCTAGGCAGGGGTTTGTGCTCAGCCCAGTCCCTACAGGGCCTCAGCCTCCTCTTTCCATAGATCGTCTGGCTGCTCTCCAACCTGGGTGGCCAGTTTGGCTTCTGGATGGGGGGCTCAGTGCTGTGCCTCATCGAATTTGGAGAGATTATCATCGACTTCCTGTGGATCACCATCATCAAGCTCGTGGCTTTCTTCAAGAGCCTGCGGCAGAAGCAGGCCCACGCTCGCTACGCCGGGCCGCCGCCCACCGTGGCTGAGCTGGTGGAGGCCCACACCAACTTCAGCTTCCAGCCCGATGTGGCTGACCCAGGGGTCTATGTCAGTGGGCAGGCGCTGCCCATCCCAGGCACCCCACCCCCCAACTATGACTCCCTGCGCCTGCAGCCACTCGATATCATCGAGTCCGACAATGAGGGTGATGCCATCTAGGTCCTAGGTCCTGCCCTGCCCAGCCAGGGAAGCCAGGACAATCAAAGGGCAGAGATAGCAGGCTTCCAAACCCAGAGCCTTGTTCCTTTACTCACCCCACAAAAAGCCAAGGCTCCATGGGGTCACAGAGCAGGAATTGTATTTTCCTGTTCTTCCTTCACACATCCTCAGCCAGGCTCTAGAGACCCCACAACTCCTGCCTTGAGGACAGGCCACTTCCTTCCGAGTGCCAGTTTCCATCTGTCCCCGAGAGGAACAAGTGGCCCACATGCTGTCTGTGCCTTTCTGACCATGCATGGCCACTGAACAGGTTCAGAACGGTGAGGAGGAACCTCAGACGTGGGCCCTTCCAGCTGCCACATGTCTCGTTCTAGAAAATAAAAGTAGAATATGCTGAGTGAAGCTTTGTTCTTTGCTGGTGGGGAGGGAAGCAGCCCAATTCTCAGATCTATGCCTGGAAGGTGCATCCACACTGGCTGGGTGTAAGCTCTTGCTGAGGGGAGGGCAGGGCAGGAGCAGCTCCCTGTGATATTTTTCACGGTCCTTTCAAGATATCCCTAAAGCAGCATGTTTGTGACTTACCCAGTAGCACCTAACCTCTTGAGTCCTGGTGTGGCACTGTGGGTTTGAACAGCAAGGTCGGCGGTTCAAGTTCAGAAGCTGCTCCTTGGAAACCCTATACAGGGAGGGTTGCTATGGATCAGAACCAACTCGATGGCGCTTAACAACAACAACCTAATCTCTTTACGATTGTGAGAGAAAATACTAAAACTAAAAAATCTTTCATAGTTTCTCTGAAATTTGGAATGTGTATTCACAAACACTTAACTGTGCTCATGAGGGACCTGTATATAAACCAAGAGGCAGTTGTTTGAACAGAACGAGGGGACACCGAATGGTTTAAAATCAGCAAAGGTGTGTGCTGGAGTTGTATTCTTTCACCATACTTAATCTATATGCTGAGCAAATCCAAGAAGCTGGATTATATGAAGTACATGGCATCAGGATCGGTGCAAGGCTTATTAGCAACCCGTGATATGCAAATAACAACCTTCTTGCTGGCAGCAAAGAACACTTAAAATACTTATTGTGGTGAAGTGAATTATTGAGTGTGCATTCTAGCTATAGTTTACCGTGCTGGGTCTGGGTAAGAGAGGGTAGGAGAAGATTTTAGTAGGATGACATGATTTAGCTGTGGATGTTAACACACTTGATTCTAATTATAAAAACTGAAACATCTAGCATGGGTATAAAAGCAGCCATCTCAGAAACAGGAGGAGAGAATCTCAGTACCATCAACAAAGAGCCAGGAGTGGAGCCTGTCCTTTGGCCCCCGAGATTTCTGCATACTGACCCTCCTTGGCCCAGGGACAGACAGCTGACACTTGAGGGGTGGCAGAGGAGCAGCAATAGCAGAACCGAGAAGCAGAGCAGAAGACAGAGTGGTGGGCTTACCATCACATGGAGCAAGGAAAGCTGAGTGACTCTGAGCAGGAAGCTTGCTGTAGAGTGAGGTGCCTCCAGACACTTAATGGGAGGAGCTAGGTTTGCTAACCCACAAAGCTAGAAATGAGAGTCTTTTAGCTGAGACTTATGGGGCAGTGGTGTATCCTATGGGCATTTATCAACAGTCCTCAAAAAATTTGGTAGCATTGCCTGGACAGAGGCCTGCCTGTGGGCACTGCCACGGAAAAGCCTTCCTGACTGGCACACTGTGTCCTGAGCATTTTCTGATCCTTGCCACCTGCTAATTTCCCTAACAAAGCCCATAACTGAGTCTGTTGTCTGAGCTCTGTGTGGCCAGTGCAGTGAATTATCTAACCTAGCTGAGCAGAGAGTGCTGGGGGAGGTAGGGGCACTGATGAAGACCAAAGACCACAGCCTTCAGTATGATTGCACCTCAGTGTGAAAAACAAAAACAAAAACACAGATCCTCAGAACTGGACCAATAAATAACATCATGAGAAACAAAGAAAAGATTGAAGTTGCCAAGACTTATTTTTCGTGGATCCACAATCAACTCTCATGAAAGCAGCAGTCAAGAAATCAAATGAAAGATTGCACTGGACAAATATGTTGCACAAAGATGTCAGTTTGAGGACTAAGGTACTCCTAAACCAAGCCAAGGTATTTTAAATAAGCTCATATGCATGTGAAAGTTGCACAATGAACAAAGACCATTGAAGAATCGATGTTGGCGAATAATACTCAAAGTGTTGGCGAATAATACTGAAAGTACCATGGGCTGCCAGAAGTACAACCTTACAAGCAAAGATGGTGAGACTTCATCTTTTGTTTTTGGACATGTCAGGATGGTCCTTGGAGAAGGAAGGACATTGTGCCTGGTAAAGCAGAGGGTCAGAAGACCCTTAAAAGTTGGATTTGTTGTTGTTGTTAAGTGCCGTCGAGTCGGTTCCGACCCATAGCGACCCTGTACAGGGTTTCCGAGGGTGTAAATCCTTACGGGAGTAGAAAGCCTCATCTTTCTCCCGCTGAGCGGCTGGTAGTTTCGAACCGCTGACCTTAAGGTTTGCAGCCCGATTCGTAACCACTACGCTACCAGAGTGGATTACACGGTGACAATAACAATGGACTCAAATGTTAGGGTTGTGAGGATGGTACAGGACTGGGCAATGTTTTGTTCTGTTGTACACAGGGTCGCTATGAGTTGGCACTGACTCAACAGCATCTAACGGGCCCTGCTGTGCCTGGCCAGTCTGGCTTCACCCCTCCTGTAGGTCCAGAAACCTGTGTCCATTGATCTGGAAGGCAAAGAAGCCAAGCTCTCATAAAGCAGCTTGGCCACTGTGGTGGAAGGAGTTAGCACAGAGCAGGTGCGCCTTCAGCTAAAGCAGCACTACTCAGGCTCAAGTCAGCAGGGCCTGGGAGAAGCCGGGTTTCCCAGCAACCGTCGTAATGCCAGGCTACGGTCCCAGTTCTTGGTGGCTGCCACAGTGAAGTTCCTCACAGATGGGTTCTCTGCACGCTTCCCAAATGTTCCCATAGTCCTGAGAGTTGCAGCCTCCATCCCTACACATCAACAATCCAGAGGGAAACAAACTCCTCCTTCAGCATCCCAGGGATGAGGCTCATTTGGGTCACATGTTCATCCGGAGCCAATCCCTGGTGTGGATATGGAGGGCAACCCCTCACAGCCTCCGGAATGGGAAGGGTGGGCGGGCCTGCCTCCAGACAGACCAGGACCAGGCTGCGAGCTGCCGGCCCTCAGAAGGTCAGGAATCAGGGCTCCTCTCAGGATTATTCAGGACATTTTACAGTGGGACCAGGAAATGTGTGGCCTCAGGCCCTTCAAGGTTCATAGGAAGGGGAGGTGGGCATCGTTTTCTTTGGCCTCCCTTCATTTTTGGGTGTGGCCTGCTGCCTTCCCAAAGCCCAAGACACAGGCTAAGAGCCCGGCTCCAAGAGCAGACTCCTCCCCTCGAGCTAGGTGAAAGTACCATCATCCTTACCATCAGAAAATCTGAAAAAACAGGAACAGGAAACTAACTAGGTGGTGTGAAGTCAATTTGATTCCTGGTGACACCATGTGGCACAGAGCAAAACGGGTTTTCTTTTTTGTGGCTCTGTGGGGTTTTCTTGACGGAATCTTTACAGAAGTGGACTGCCAAGCCTGTCTTCATTGGTGCTACTGGTGGGTTCTAACTGCTAACCTTTAGGGTCATTGTTGCTGGTATTTGCTGTGGAGTGAGTTCTGACTCATAGCAACACTGTACAGGACTTCCAAAGAGCAGCTGGTGGGTTTGAACCACCAACCTTGTGGTTAATAGTCGGGTGCTTATCCTGCAGCACTACAGATGAGTACAAACCACTTGTTCCACCCAAATAAACCCAGGAGATAGGTACCATTATGATGTCCGTTTTCAGGTTAGGAATGAGGCTCAGTGAGGGGCAGAGTCTTTCTCAAGGTCACAAAGCTGAGAGGTGGCAAAGCCTAGCCTGAAGGGCTGATGATAGTCTGCTTGCTGGCTCACAGACAGGCAGAGGCTGCCATGGTGAGGTTTCTAGTTTTCACTCCTTTAAGGGAAGCGCCAGGTGTGACCCAAGCCAGGGATCGCCTGTGAACTACCAGGAGAAACCAAAATGTTGGTTCTTGGTTCTGGCTCCCAGCTGATGCTTTGGAGTCAAACTGGCTCCAAAGATGTGAGCACGGAGTATGTGGAGGCCCTCAGACATCGGAGCGGCAGACAGAGGCCCAGACAGCCTGGTGCTCTGGTTCAGGAGAGGCTGTGAACCTGGCATGAGCATGCAGGCATCCGGGATTGGGTGTCCAGGCTGGGTGCCTCGGCCCAGTCCAGGAAGACCTCGCTCAACCTTTCTTTTTCATAAAGTGAGGCCCACGTGAACTGTGAAGTAAAGTGGGCTCTGGAGCAGACTCCAGAATCCCTGGGAGGTGCAGCTATGCACTTGCATGGCAGCCGAAGGGGTGACAGTCTGAGTCCACCCAGAGATGTCTCTGCAGAAACATCTGCCATCAAAAACCCAGCGGCTCACGGTAACTGGTGGCACCTGGTCCTGGTTTTGTGGTAGACTGTCACCACTCCCTGCTAACAAAATTCCAGCCGTGTCCATGGTAAACAGATCCTAAGGGTCTGACCCAGTGGTTCTCAGGTGGAGGCGACTTGTCCTGATTTTTGGAGACCACCTTGGTTGTCATGAGGGAGTTCTTGTGGGTAGAAGCCCGGGAAGGAACCGAGTGTCCGACAGCATGAAGGGCATCTTCACAACAAAGAACCATCCGCCCAGTGTCAATGTGCCCAGGGGAGGAGCCTTCCCAGGCTCCCTTGCAGCCAGGAGGGCATCTGTGAGGCTTCACATAAAGTCGGCTGGGGCTCCGACTGAAGGGACAGGCATGACTGTCCTACTGTGTGTCCCTACTTCCTTCTCCCCTGGAGTGAGGCTGCAATCCTGGGGCCTGGACATCACCCTACGACAAGATGTCAGCTCAAGGGAAAGGTCAAGATCACAGCAGCCACTCCTAACTCTGAGCCACCCACCGTCTGACTTATTATTGAGAAAATGCTATTGCTGTTTGTTTACCTCAGAGTGTGTTTTCCTTTATTCCCAAATGCAATGTCAACAGCTGTTATTGACAAGTGCCGTCAAGTCGGTTCTGACTCAGAGAGACCCTGTAAAGGGTTTCCGAGGAGCAGCTGGTGGGTTTGAATCACTGACCTTGTGGTTAGCAGTCCAGTGCTGATACTACATCAGGACTCCGTGAAATTGATATATTTCATATCATCTCATGAATTTTGAAACAGAAAAAAGGTCTACGCCAAATCCTTACTTCGGCCTACAAACCTGTGATCTGTACCCATTTCTGTTAGGCCCTGGCTGCCCTTATACTCACCCCGCAGCCTGGTCACAAATTCTACTCCCGCAGCTCTGCCACTGACATCTCTTGTACTTTAGAGGTCTCCATGTGGCCGACGCACCCTGTCCAGCACTCTCGTCACCCTGTCCCTCTGCATTTGTACCTCAAAGTAGTTTTTCTGGTTAACTACCTGCTTCTCCCTTCTTGGTTCCCTCCCTTTCTCTCCCTCCCGCCCCCTCTGAACACATGAACACAAGGACTCAGGCCCCCTTTGCACAGCTACATTCTGGCGCCTCCTCTGAACACTCACAAACCCTCAGAGAGCCAATGAAGAAGGAAGGAACCAGTCCCCCCTTCATCCCAGTTTTTATTATCGACTCGTTCAAAATCAGATCATTAAAAAGTCATCTGAAAATTCCTCCCAAATAAATAACATACCCAACATTTACCACCTCTTTGATTATGCAAATGAACCAAGTTTTAGGAAAGTGACCAATCCACCCTGGAGTGTGGCTGAGGCCCAAGGATACCAGTCAGTAGGCCACACCCCTCATGGCAGCTACTGTGGCGGCCAGGCGGCGGGGAAGGCTTTTGGTGGCCTGTCTGTAGTCCTCGGGCTTAGTCTTCAAGAGCGTCACGATGTTCTGGAGAGTACGGGATGGCTGCAGACCCAGGGCGTCCATCACATTGGTCAGGTAGTCTGTGGGTGTGGAGGGGAGGTGGGCTTAGCACCAAGTGAGACACAGCCCCGGAGAGTCCCCCAGTCCCCTAGCACTGGACACGGCTCTGCCCCCAGCAGGAAGGCCTGGCTTCAGGGCTTCCACGCAGGGTCAACTCCGGCAGTGACCTTGGCCAGAGTCCAGGCATTCTCATTTGATAAAGAAGTACCCAACATCACCCACACCTGGGCACATACATGCACTCACACATACACACGTGCACACGCACACACATGCACCCACCCCTGCCCAGGTAGCTGGCTGATATACCAGGGCCGACCTGAAGCTGCCCTTCCTGGGACTCCGCTGACTGCTGGAACCCCAGCCTGGCTCCCTATGTAAACCCCAGCCCGGCCCCCAGTGTAAACCCCTGTGTACACCCCAGCTGGGCCCCCTGTATACACCCGTGTACACCCCAGCCCGGCCCCCCATATATACCCCATGTGTACACCGCTGACTGCATGGAGACCCAGGGCTCAGGAGCAGCTGCCAAGACTCCCCATCCAAACCCCACAAGGAAAGCCAAGAGACATTCTGGGGGAAGGCTGCTTCTCAGAAGAGAGCTTCTTGGAGTGCCCCCCCGTCACCTCCCCCAGACAGTTGATGAGGAACTCCAAGAGAGGGTGGGTCCTAGGGTTCTGCAGTTTGATAAGAGCCCCATAGGTGGAGGGGACGCATGGGGGTTCAGCTGCAGCCAGTTGTCAGCTCTGGAGTCTCAGCAAGGCTCAGAGGACCCAGTGGGACAAAGGGCATGAAGGTAGCTGGTGGGAGGCTCCTTCCTTGGTGGGCCCTCCCAGAGCTGAGGGAAGCACTCAGCACACACACCCCTCCTCTCTCTTTTTCTTTTTTTACAATCTCCTCCATGCATCATCAATCAACCCCTAAGCCTGCCCTGAGTCATCAGCACACAGCCCCTCTCCCTCTCTGGGTCTAGAGTTCCCAGCCGCTCCATCTCTCCATGTCATCATCTCTGCCTCCATCTCTGGCATCACTGTTTCTCTGGGTAGGGTCCCACACTCCGCTCTTCTCCCTTGATGGTCCCAGGGACCTCTGCTCCTGGGCTGCAAAGTCAACCGCTCCCCTCTTGCTACAAAACATCTACCTTTCCATTCCAACCTTCAGTCAGTCCTAATAGCAAAAATTCACTGTTGTACCACATGAGTGCTATCCCCATCTCCTTTCATTAGCGCCTCCCAGACAGATTAGATACTACTCAGTGGAGAGTCTGCCTTCCTCCACACCCTCTGGATCTAGGCTCCCTCTTGAAAGCCTGTAAGCCAGTCACTTCTTGCCTTTGTCCCCTTCCTCTCTTACTTGGGAGAATGATGAGGCACCTCCCATGCCCCCCATTCTTTTCACAGTGGTAAACTAAGTCTAACAAATCAGGTAGCATTTCAACCTTTGGTAAGTGTACCTGTTAGTGATTAAGACAGTCAACTAGCACTGCTATAAGGGAATTCAGTACTCCTAAATTCCACCTGTATGCTGAGCAAATCATCCAGGAAGCTGGGTTCTATGAAGAAAAACGTGGCATCAGGATTGGAGGAAGACTCATTAACAACCTGCGATATGCAGATGATACAACCTTGCTTGCTGAAAGTGAAGAGGACTTAAAACATTTCCTGATGAAGATCAAAGACCACAGCCTTCGGTATGGATTACATCTCAATGTAGAGAAAACACAAATCCTCACCACTGGACCAATAAACATTCTTATTAACAGAGAAAAGATTGAAGTTGTCAAGGACTTCATTCTTCCTGGATCAACTATCAACACTCACTGAAGCAGCAGTCAAGAAATCAAACGACATATTGCATTAGGCAAATCTGCTGCACAAGACCTTTTTAAAGTGTTGAAGAGCAAAGATGTCAGCTTGAGGACTAAGGTGTGCCTGACCCAAGCCATGGTGTTTTCAACAACCTCATATGCATGTGAAAGCTGTACAATGAATAAGGAAGACCGTAGAAGAATTGATGCTTTTGAGTTATGGTGTTAGAGAATATTGAAAGTGCCATGGACTGCCAAAAGAACCAACAGATCTGTGTTGGAAGAAGTGCAGCCAGAGTGCTCCTTGGAGGCCAAGATGGCCAAACTTCATCTCTCATACTTTGGATATATTGTCAGGAAGGACCGGTCACTGGAGAAGGATATCATGTTTGGTAGGGTGGAGGGTCAGAGGAAAAGAGGAAGACCCCTAACGAGATGGATTGGCCAAGTGGCAGCATCGATGGACTCAAGTGTGGCAACAATAGTGAGGTTGGCCCAGGATCGGGCAGTGTTTCGTTCTGCTGTGCGTAAGGTCACTGTGGGTTGGTACTGACTTGATGGCACCTAACAACAAGAACAAAGCAACAAGGAGTCCTGGTGTGGCGCTGTGGATTAATGTGTCAGACTGCAAAGCCGTTTGAACTGCAAGGTCGGCAGTTCAAGCTCACCAGCTGCTCCTTGGAAACCCTATACAGGGCCGCTATGGGTCAGAACCGACTCGACAGCACTTCATAACAACAACAAAAAAGCAACAAGTTCCCATTTCCTCCTTTCCCTAGGCCCTGGTGGCCACTACCAAACTGTTTTCCATATGCAATTACCTATTGTGGATGTTGTTGTTGTTGTTAAGTACCGTGGAGTCAATTCTGACTCATAGTGACCCTGCACAGAGTTTTCAAGGCTGTAAATATTTACAGGAGCAGAAAGCCTCATCTTTCTGTTGCAGAACGGCTGGTAGTTTCAAACTGCCGACCTTGAGGTTGGCAACCCAACTCATAACCACTACTCTACCTGGATAGTTCACATAAAAAGAAACTGACTTGTGTGGGAATTCAGCTTACCTTTTCAAGGAACCAACAAACTGTTCTGCATAGCCACTCTACCATTTTACGTCCTTATGAGCAATGGATGAGGGTACCAATTTCTCCACATTCTCGCCAACACTGGTAATTTTCCATTTTGATGCCACTGGCCATCCTCGTGGGTGTAACGAATACCTCACTGGTTTCTTGTGACTGTCTGAGCACTGTCTAGGTTCATCTGTCCTCTGACTGACCTAGAGTCCCAGCGAGGCCTGCCTCTTCCTTGTGTGCTGTTCTGAGGCCCATTGCAGGGCAGGGCCCAGAGGAGGTGCTTGCTCCATCCTGCCGGGCTGGCTGACTCAGGGCCAACTCAGGAGCCGCTTCCTCAGTCAGGCCGCTGTTCTCTTCCCAAGCTGGGAGCTCCATTAGTCAGAACGCCAGGAGCTGCCAATTGAGAACCCACCGTCTGCTGTGGCATATCTGTTTGTCTGACAGAGTGTGTACTCTGTTGTAATGCTGAATTTGGAGATCTGTAAGGTGGACTTGCGTGGTAACAGACTGACATCCCAGAGATCTGCACCTGAGTCTCACTGATCCGCCCCACACCTCACGCCCTCACGCCGTGAGCTCAGGACAGACAGGGACTGACTAAACCTCTCATGGCTCCTGTCTCCACTGCCAGGGTGGTGCAGAGCAGAGGCCCAGTCAATGCTGAAGGAATGAATAAGTGGAGAGACTGAAACCAAGGACAACACCCAAATCTCACCTCCCCCACTAGCTGTGGCTGCTTCTTTTCCTAAGGCATCCAAACAGGGGACCCCAGCGAGTGTTTATGTTTCATGTCTTTTCTCCGCACACGGGCCTGCTGGCATGACAGAAAGGATGGCTGTCCCTCTGGAACCTCTGAACATAAAAAGGCCGGGAAGCCAAAGCTACGAGGTCCTAGGTCTGGCTCTATCACAAACCTCTCTGGCACCCAGAGCAAAGGACCTCACTCACTTCCTCTCTTCTTCCACAAAACAAGAGGCTGGAGTTGGATCTGGCTCCGGCTGGGTCCCTCAGCATATGGTTAACACCGCTTGGCTGCTAACTGGAAGGCTGGATGTTTGAGTCCACCCAGAAAGATCTCATAAGAAAGGCCGAGCCACTGAAAACTCTATGGAGCACAGTTCTCCTCTGACACACACGGGGTCACTGAGTCAGACCTAACTCGACCACTGAAGCTCCTGTTGGTGGGCCATGAAGATACAGGCAGATGCCTGGGCTTCAGCCACCTTACAAATCAGAAGCTCAGGGGACAAGGCCTGGAGAGTCTGCATTATGAACCAACTTCACAGCAAAACCCAGAGTTGGTGCTTCAGGGAGAACTGGGGTAAGATTCCTAGGCCGGACCCTGACAGACGCAATGGGTAAGCGCTGCCTCTCCCTTGGGAACCTACCAATGTCCGTGGCCAGCTGCTTGGTGGAATGGGGGGTCAGCTCGGGTATCTGGAGGATCACGTCACAGTAGGTCTGCATCGTGGCTCTGGCGATGGAGCCTAGCCAGTTATCAGCCATGTTGTCCAGCTCGGGCAGCTCGTCACCTGAAAGAGAAGAGACGGAGGTCACCCAGAACACCCAGCTCGGGAGCAGCCCGTCTGCCCTCAGATCTTACCGAGCCCGTGACAGGTATTAGACGCACCAACAGGCCAGCAGGCGTGCCGTCTGGGTGAGACACAGAAAATGGGGAACAATTCAGATGGGGGCAGGAGGGGAACCCAGGCACTGGGATGGGGTGCGGGTGGGGTTAGAAGGTGGGAGAGGTGAGGAGCAGTCTCCCTGGAGCTGAAGGGTGGGGGTCAAGGCACAGGAATCTGATCGTAACAAGACCCAAGTCCAAGGTCAGTTCTACCACCAATGAGCTACCCGACCTCTCCGAGATGGTTCTGTTTATCTGCAAAGTGGAGGTGACAACAGCCCTGCCTTTAAGGACGGCCATGAGAATTAGAGACCAGACGTGAGACGGTTGGCATGGGATCTGACACAACACTTTGTGCTTGACACGTGAAAGCTACTACTGTGGTCATTATTATGAGTGGGGGGGCACAACAGGGAAGCCAGCCCTGGCTCACGGAGAACCACATGTGGAAGGACTTAGGAGGCCAGGGTACGTTCCGAGTAGGGAGCCCGGCAGGCTATGGCAGGCTGAGCGGGGAGACGGAGCAGTCACCCAGGTGAGAGCAAGCAGGACCTGACCGCCAAGGGAGTGGAAGGCACTTGAGAGCAGATGAGAGAAGAGAATAAATGAGGTGATACTTTTAGGGTTAGGTGCCCTCTAGTTGGTTCCGACTCAAAGCACCTGTGCACAACAGCATGAAACACTGTCTGGTCCTATACCATCTCCCAGTTGTTGGTACTCTTGAGCCTACTGTGCCCATCCACCTCATTGGGGGTCTTCCTCTGTATCACTGACCCTCCACTTTACCAAGCATCATGTCTTTCTTCAGGCACAGGTCCCTCCAGCTAACATGTCTGATGTATGAGAGATGAAGTCTCGTCATCCTGGTATCTAAGGAGTACTCGGGCTGTACTTCTCCCAACACAGACTTGTTTGTTTGTCCGTCTGGTACTTTTAATGTTCTCCTACAACACCGTATCTCAAATGCATCAATTCTTCTACGGGCTTTCTCCTTCATAATTAGAAGAGGCAAAGCAGTGACAGCTAATACATTTAGGAGAGATGAGTAACATACTACCATATTTTATGGAAATAAGATCTGTGTCATCAGACTCCTCACCCCTGTTATTTTTACAAATATTCTATGTTAATTTTTTTTTCACAGCAATATGTTTAAAAAAAAGCACAAACTTTTCTTACAATACCTGGGGTGAGGAGGTGCCAGGGCAATGGGACAGGGAGGAAGGCACATGACTGACAAAAATTATAATGCACTTCCAGGGCAAGATGGCAGAGTCGGCAGATGCACTGAATCGACCCTCTGCAACAATGTCCTGGGAGACTGAAGGCCTGTTACAGGCGGTGGTCCTGTAACACTGACCACAGAGGACTGGACAGAGAGGTGGGCTCAGTGCTGACTGGAAGGGAGAGCAGGACAAGAGCAGTGAGAGAGAAGAGAAACTGCAGACTGTGGCCTGGTGTGGAGCTTTTTCAAGTGGGCACAGGATGTGGCTGGAGATTGGTGGCAAGGGGGTGCTGTTTTCTCCTGTTCCAGTGTCCTCCTGGTAGCCGGGGAAGTGGTCAGTCTCCACCCTTTCAATCCAGCAGCTGGTGGCACCCCTTCCTGCAAAGCCTCTGCATAGCGCCTCAGGGTCCCTGTTTCTGGAGGCACGTGAACCCGTCCAGACCTATGCTGCCCAAGCAGTGACTAGAGACCTAACTGCGTTCTCATTTCCAGTCTCCACCACATCCACCAGGAGACAGGTAAGAACACAGCAATGCACAATCAGCAACTAAATAGAAATACACCACCACAATGGCGCGGAGAAAACAGACAATTTCAGCTTACACAAAGAAACAAGACAGAGTTCCTCACGCAAATGACAAAATACAGAATCAGCAAATATCACACAAAAAATGGTATGGCAACTACCTGATGAAGAATTTTAAAGAATGCTAATTCGGCAACTTTAATAGAAGGAGAGAATGACTGAGAAAACTGCAAATGAAATCAAGGAGAACAAAACTAGAAAATTTCAGGAAAGACATTGACAAAATAAATGAAAAAAACAAACAAACTGAGAATCATACAAAAACAGCAATTAGAAAGCCAGAATATTAAGACTTCGGAAATACGTAATACCCTTCCAAAAGAACAAAGTAGTAGACCTGAATCAATGGAGGGCCAAATTATTGACCTTGAAGAAAAATCTCTCTATATTCATCTGCTAGAGGAACAATCAGAAAAAAAGAACAAAAAATCTGAAAGAAGCCTAAGATTTATGTAGGGCATTATCAAGAGGAATAACTTACGTGTGACTGGAATTCCAGAACAGGGAGAGACAAAAAAACAAAACAAAAAACCAGAGAGAATATTGTCCAAGAGTTTCTGGAAGAGGACTTCCCTAACATCATGAAAGATGAGGAGACAGCGGTTTCAGAAGTTGAACAAAAGTTGATGGACCCCAAAAGAAAAACACCAAGATATTATAATCAAACTTTTCAAAACCAAAGAGTGGCTCAGGAACAATGAAAAGTTACCTGAAAAGGAGAAACCATGCAGGCAAGAAGGCAATGGGAAGAAACATATAAAACTCTGAAAGAAAAAAATTGCTAACCAAGAATCAAAGACCCAGCAAAACTGTCCTTCAAGCCGAGAGCGGGACCCTACCCAGAGAAACAGAGATGCCTGAGATAGAGACAGAGACGATGACGTGGCGTGATGAAGCGGCTGGGGACTTTGGACCCAGAGAGGGAAAGGGACTGTGGGTGGAAAATTGGGGGGGTGGGGGTAGGGGGGATGGAGTGTAGGGGGTGGGTTTCTAGGATATACCCTTTGGTTGGTTGATGATGCATGGAGGGGATTGGAACCATGGCAATGAAATGATATACGATGGAATGAATGTAAGACTAAGATTCTTCCATGTAAACTATCATATAATTCATAATAAAACATTAAGGGAGTCTTTTGGACTGAGAATCAACAACAACAGAAAACAACCTGAGAGTCACATGACAATACCACCTAGACTCAACTCAGCTATAGAAGTATTCAAAATAAAACGGACCGCTAAGACTGAAACTAGAAAAGCAGAGATACAGATGCAACACCAATAACAGAAAACCAGAAGGAAGGAATAATCTAGTTACAGAACTTCCAAATGAAGACGAAATCAAATAAGAGTCCAAGAAAAATTAAATCAATACAGATAAACCTAACTGTAACCCTAAAAAGTAGACGAAGCTTTAGCCTACCCCCTAACACCAACCATAGTCCTAGGCCTAGCCACAGTCCTAGCCCTAATGCTCACTCCTTACCCCTACCCACATTCCCCAGTAAAAGTACAGAGCATTATTGGCATAAAAACATGGAACGGTTACAACTAGTAATAAGGATAATGACGGTATGGAATAGAAAGTGAATGTAAGGCACTGACCATAAAGCAGAGTCAGGACATTCTTCTCGTTGCTTCTGTTAAGCGCCATCGAGTCAGAGCGACCCTGCACAGGCTTTTGAGGCTGTAGATCTTTGCCAGAGTAGAAAACCTCATCTTTCTCCCAAGAACTGTCTGGTGGCCTCAAATCCATAACCAGGCAGTTCGCAGTCCAGTGCTTATGCCAAGAGCCACTGCACTACCAAGACATACTAGGGGGGCTTCAAAATATCTGTGGAAAACTGGAATTGAAAAACGGAATTTTTCCATGAACTTTTTGAAACACTGTCATATGGAAAGATGAAAACACCAATGTGTTATGTGGTGGGGGCTTGGTAATTTTCTTTTCTTCTTAAATTATTATTTTAATTGTTTTATAAACTATCTCTGCAGCCAACAAAAACTAGAAGGTTAAAAAACAAGCTGGGCTGGCTTGGTGACAAGTTCCATCTTGAAACTACCAGCCTGGTCACACACAGCTGCTGGAGCCAACACGAGGGCCAACTGCCACGTCTGACAATTGGCTATACTCCGCAACCCACACGGAGATTAAACCCGAGTAGTAAGCGTGACTGTATCAGAAGAATGTAGTTGCTAGGGAAACAGAGATAGGGCGGCTAGAATGTTGCGCAGGCTGAGCCGAAGGACATAGCTAAATACAAGGAAAGACCGTGCAAGTTCCCTGTCCCGTGAGGCAGCCCTGCAACTTGGAAGCAGTCTGAGTTTCTGGACCACAACTGTTTAGTTGCAATCCTTCAGTTAAACTACCCCCAAGTCAGGGACCTTCGGCTTAGCTGCTCCCAACAGTCTGGCCAGAAACGCAGCCAGGCAGGGAGGATACTTTAAGGGCTAATCCTCATCTCTGCTGACTGACTTGATGGCAGAAAGCCCTGGAAGGCTGAACATAAGAGACCAGAGCAAACAGCTGAGAGCTGTCATGCAGAGATGAATGTGGATGCCAGAAACATGGATGAAAATGAGCAAGAGATAGGGGAGACAGCCCAGGTTGAAGGGGAAGCGGCATGGCACAAGGCCAGAGGGCTTGCCAGGCCGGGCGCTGTCCTGAAGGTACTCTCCAGCCGGGGACGAGAGAGACATCAAGGAAGCACAGAATCCGGAGCAAACACCTTAGCTCCAGGCTGCTGACAATGGGCAGGGAATATTGGGCTACTTATCAAATGCACATGGGCAAAAGGTTGTCTAAGCAGAAGCCATAAAAATGCTTTTATTTCCATGATAAAGCCAGCATATATATGAGAGGACACAGTTTATGAAAAGCTACGTGTTGATCTAGCTTTGGTTGTATGGATTCCTCATCTTTTTTCTTCTGCTCAGAAAAGTGGACTCATGTTGTCTCTGTGTGCAGCTGAGGTCCGTCCACTCACTGTCAGTCCTGTGTTAAGTGTCACTGCACGACCACACTCGTACACATGCTTCCAGACTGAGCACTTGTCAACCAAGTCACTAAGGCCACCCTTAGAGCTATACGGCGACAGATCTGGCAGCGTTTCTAGGATAGACATCTAGGATAGTTTCTAGGATAGACATTTAGGCATAGAGCTCTGGTGTGGCACTGTAGGATAAGCACTAGACTGCTAAGTAGAAGGTCTCAGGTTCAAACCCACCAGCAAACTCCTGGGAAACCCTACACAGGGTCACTGTAAGTCAGACCCACATATCTAGAAGTAAAACTGCTGAGCCAACTTGATATGCACACTGGTACCTTTGCTAGAAAAGGCCACGGCATTTCCGAAGTGAAGATACCACTTTACAACAGAGAGGGACGATGCTCTATGCTTTTCCTTTCACATTGATCTACACTGCAGTTTTCAAAATGGAATCATTCTGTATATATTATTTCACGACCTGCTCTTTGCACTTAATATGGTATCTGAGGATATCTTTTCAAGTCATCAAACACTCTTTTCTTATTAATATATTTTTAAAAAGCTGTACAGCTTTTCAGGAGTCCCAGTATGGCGCTGCAGAATAATGCACCGGACCACAGGTTAGTTTGAACCGCAAGGTCGGCAGTTCAGATCCACCAACTGCTCCTTGGAAACCCTATACAGGGTCGCTCTCAGTTAGAACCGACTCGATGGCACTAAACAACAGCAGTATTTCAATACATGAACGTACCAGGCTTTGAAATCAATCAATATTGTTTCACACTTACTTTTCTTTTATAAACAGTGCTCATTCAGTCACATTGATGATTAGTTTATTAGGACACTTTTCAAGCAGCAGAACTTCTGTTCAGAAAGGTTTGGTTGTCTGTAAGTCTTTTGATCAAGTGATAGAATTTATACTATTTTCCTCCTCCAATGTTGCCAGTATTAAATATGTTGTTGTTGTTAAGTTCCGACTCACACACTCACACACACACAGTCAATTTGGTATGTGTCAAATCGCCTGACTTTCCATTGCAGCCTTCTCAGAACTGTATCCTGCACAAGTTCCACAGCTCCTGACATACGTGGGTCCCTAGTTCACGTCTTGACAATTATTTCAATGGAATTTGCAGAGATGTGTATGCCGAGGGCTGCAGGTGTTACAAACAAGCCTAGACAGCACACTTTACCTTGCTCAGGAGGAAACGGGAGCTTTCCAGCATGCAACGCTAACTCCAGGGCAGAGTCCTCCTGAGTCACAAATGGCTCCAGATTTAAGGGAAGGGACATGATGTACTGGCCAATCTGAAACAAACGAAAGTATTTTCAGCCTGACATTGACCCATACAAGTAGTTAGACCGGGGCAACCCCAAATCTGAACCTTCGGTCTTCCCAGTGTGAGTGATAGTGGTTACGGCGAGTCCTTAAAAACAAACCAATCGCTGGTAGTTTGCATGTAGATGATGTTGTTGTTAAGTGCCATCGAGTCGATTCCAACCCATAGCGACCCTATCTCTGTACATCTCAGCTAGAAGGGTGTAACAAAATACTCTATTCGAGTTCCGCTCAACTTTACTTTTCAACACCGATGTGCATGGACTTTGTGCACATTCTTGTGTCTGGTACCTCCTTCATCTGCAGCCATAACCTGGTCCAAATTCATGGACCCAGCTTTACTTGAAGTAAAGCATTATCATCATTTATACCTTGCATAAATGCTTTCCAAATTTTCCAAAGCGTTTTCTCACATTTCATCCCTTTATAATTCTCACACGGTTCGGTGTCATTTAGCTGCAGAATTTCAATCATCTCATTATCTCAAACCTCCAGTGATTTGTCTGAGATTGTCAGGTTGACATGGAACCTCGACCAATTCCAGAGTTTCTGGGTCCTCTCAGGAGTCCGGTCTGTATTTATTTTTGGAAGTCAGTGGGGAAGACAGGCTTGTTTTCATCACATCTGTGACCTTTTTCTACTGTTCTCACATCTCAATAGATGCTTCTTGGTACCCTATTTGGGTGAGCTCCATGAGTCCGGGCTTTACCACTGAGTGAGCTTAGACAAGTTACATCTTGAGTTGAGATTTCACGATCTCTAAGATGAGGCTGACCTCATACTTACTCTGAAGGGCTGTGGCGAGCATGAAATGAGATCATGAGTGATACATAAGTATAGTGCTTACCTGGCATCCTGACTGACAGAATAGCTACTGGGAAACTTTCACCCTTGACTCCTCCCATTCCCCTAAGCTTCGGTGCTCACCTGGGAAACTGCCAGCTGACTCAGAGAGAGAAACTATGAGATACGAGGGTAAGTTTAAAAAGTTGCTATTTTTGTTAACAGCATAGCTACTCTGTATAGGGTTTCGGAAGAGCAGTTAGTGGGTTTGAACTGCTGACCTTGCAGTTAGCAGTCTAGTGCTTATGTTACAGTGCCATAACCACGTGAGCTGCCAACCTCAGTAGCTCCTGCATCAGCGGTAATCCTATGCCATAGTTTCTTCATTCACTGAGGCTGACCATTGTCTCTCTTTTGGCTCATCTTTGAGGTCTTCCTAACCTTAAAAATGCCTGATCTGGGGACTCTAAACCCAGAAAAGGAGAGGGGCTGTGTGCTGACGACCGAGGGGCAGGCTTGCGGGGTATACCCTTTGGTTGATTGATGATGCATGGGGGGGGATTGTAATCGTGGCAATGAAATGATATATGATAGGATGAATATAAAACTAATGTTCTCCCATGTAAACTATCACCTAATTCACAATAAAACATTTTAAAACAACAAACAACAACAACAAAATGCCTGATGATTCATCTAAAAGATGCTGTTTTATGTGAAGCAGCATCCCCATAAAAATGTTGCATAGCTTCAATGATTTGGGAAGATATCCACTTAAGTTTTGTTAAAAACTTGCTATTAGTCCTGACCTCAAAATAGTTTGTTTTTTTTCCCCATGGAAAAAAAAAAAGCACCCTAACAAAACTAGGACAAGTGCATTACTGAGAGAACTTGTCTGCAGTCATCCACTGATCGCTGAGCCACATATAAACAGGTTTCGTTTGGAATAAACCTTTGCTTGTATGAACCGGGAGCCTAGAAGCCATACTCTGGGACTTATCGGCGTGGACCGTGCCCCGTCTGGTCTTGCACATGGCGGGTGTTCAATAACTGTCTCTGGAATTTAGTCCAAGCCTGGAAATGCACTCTGGCTTTCCTTGCTTCCCTACATTCTATTTCCTCAGCTTTAAAAATCAACTCAATAGCTTCTCAAGTCCCATCCAAAAGCATCATTTTCTGAATTAGATGGCAGTGTAAATCTCACATCTAAAAACTAAGATTGCTCCTATTGGTTGTAGTAAGCTGACCCATATCTTAACAGCTTCCTGAGAACAGGATGCCCTGGGAAGCAGCTGGGAAAATGGTTGCCAGGATGGGCTTGTTACTGCCCCAGGACAGGGAACAGTGGGCCGCCTCCCCCTCTTTGCCTGCCAGTGGGCCTGCCACACAACGCTTCTGATCGTACAGTATGTGCTGTTGAAATTCCTTCGTATCTTTCATATCAGCTTGCTAGGAAAATCCCAGAACTCTCCCCCAGTATGGGGCGCATGTGGTTTGGGGCATATGACTCCGGCACAGGATTTCTTATGCCCTCTGACATTTCAGCACAGTGGGCTAGACTACCGGGAGGAATGAAAGGGAGGCTGTGTGCAGGTATCTGGGCCATCAAATCATCTGGATGTAGAAGGACACTATCAAACCCCTAGGGTGCACAGGGAAGAGGGAGAGGATTCTAAATGCTTCATTGTCCTGCAAGGTTTACCACTGGCTTTAAATACTAAAGCTCTAGAACTCCGATTCTCGCTAAGAAATCTGTTATGAAGCAGTTCTACTCTGCACACACAGGGTCATCGTGATTCAGAACAGCAACTAGCACCAAACACACACAGAAGCACTTAGGACAGGCCTGGCATATAGCAGGTGCTTACTAAGAGCGTGTTGAACTCGAGTCAGAACCACACGCACACTGTTTTCCTAAAAGATCATCAAGAAGAATCTGACCACCTGCTCCTGTCGCCACAAGACGGCATTTTCTGTGGGACTCTGGCTCTCGTGCCCTTAGCTACGGGCCACTTCTCAGACTGGGAGACATGGCACAGGTGGATGTCACTGTGTCTGGTTCTGAAATTGCCATGTGATTCTGGCTGCATCACCTTGAAGTCCACCCAGGAAAGGACTGCAGACTATGAAAAGGCAAAGGTCCAAGCACAGCATAGAAGGGTGACGGTGAGTTGCTCTAGAGAGCCAGAATTAGGACCTGGGACAAGCTCTGCAATGCTGGGACCACCACAGAGAAAGGCATAGAGGCTCTCTTACATTGCTGATGTACTCAAGAGGAGTGAGGCTGAAGGTGGGCAGGTCTTCAGCCAGAGGCTCTCCCACGCTGACTGCATTCCAGCTCTAAGGAAGGAAGAGAAGAAGTCATCAGAACACAGCAGCCAGTGAGTGTGGAGCGTACCAGGCAGGATGCCAGGACGACAGAGCCTTCCCCACCAGACATCCCCCACTTCACTTGGAGCCAGCCTTCAGAAACACCCCACTCAGTAGTCCACGGATTTCTCCTCTTACAATCATACATTTGATACCTGCTACACAAGGAGCTCTGGTAGTGTAGTAATGAATCGAGCTGTGAACCACAAGGTCAGCAGTTTGAAACTACCCGCAGGAGAAAGAGGAATAGTTTCCTCCTGTAAAGACTTACAGCCTCAGAAACCCTGAACAGGTTCGCTATGAGTCAGAACCGACTCCAAGCCATATCACCACCACCACAACCACTGAGCCTGCTGAAGTGGAGCGACGATGAAGCAGCTGAGAAAATTATGGTCTCAGAACAGGTGGTCAGTATTTTAAGCTCTAACAAAATGAAAACAATAAAAAACCCCAAATCTGGAGGTGGAAGAGCAGGTCCCTCACTCGCAGTGTCTCTCAGGTGGAAACACTGAGAGCTCTCTGACTAGTCGTCACCACCATTTTACTTCACCTTGGTGACATCTTTTGGGGACTACTATCTTAACGTGATAAAGCAACGGTGACCTCAAATTCAACGATCCCTTTGGTTTCATTTTGGCGTCTCTTTTTCTAGTTAAATTCAAATAAAACTATATAGCACACATTTTGTTTTTTAAATATCTACCTATCATCTAAGCTCATCCATCCTTCAAAGTGGGTGTGAGTGGGCATGAAGAGGCATCCTGAGTAATGGACATGAAATGTTCACACTGATCACTTCCACACGGTGAGATTTTAGAGGAATTCATTGCTTTGTTCACTGCTTGAATTTCTGGAAATGAATAAATGTCATTTTTATTTAAAAAAAAGAGAGAAATTTCTCTTTGAAAAAATTGATACTTGCTGCTACTTATTAAGCACTCTGGCAATTGCCGGGCTAAATTCTACCATATGCAACTTCTCACTTCATCTTCACAACCCTGTATGGAGAGAATGACTGCACCCCCATTGTAAAGATGAGGACTCAAGATGCTGAGTCATGGGATTCCAAGAGGCAACCAACAGAGCTCCAGAGAGGGGCCCGTGGAGCCACAGAGCTGCCGGCCGTCCACATCACTGCTGCTACGCTGCTAGAAATGAAAAACCTGGTTGGAACAGATCTCGTGAGACATAAAGAGTGAGAATCACAGAATTTCTGTGGTAGAAGGAAGATCACAAATCATGTAGTCCAGCTACATCTTTTATGGATATTCTGAGACCCAGAAAGGGATGAGACTTGACCAAGGCCATGCAGTACGTGGCTCCTGACTCCAACCTACATGCTTTCCAGATGGCAAGAGAAAGTAAACAACTTGTAATTACACCATGCAGGGTCTTGTTGCCTCCCTTCACCTGGCTCCTGCAAGAGCTCTAGATTATTAAAAAGCCATGACAGGCCTTTCCTCAAAGACAGTCTTTAAAAAAAAGACAAATCAAGACAGACTGGATGGGAAAAGGCAGGAGCCAGTGAGGAAAGTCAGCCAGAGTGTGTTCCAGTGATTAACAGGCAAGTGATGAGAGATGCATGAGGGGAAGTCAGACCAAGTACAGAAAACAGGACTGGGAGGCCATCAAGACCACCCGAACAGAGAAGAGGTGCAGGGAGAAGAGATGACACTACTCTTGTTAGGTGCTCTAATAGTGATCCTAGGCACAACATTATAACACTTGACTGTCTTCTCAAGCTGCCCTTTGAAATTTTCTCTTCAGCTCTTTGATTTTCTCATTTCTCCCATTTGCTTTATTATCTCTATGCTGCAGAATAAGTTTCAGAGTCTCTTCTGACATCCATTTTGGTCCTTCCTGTATTTTTAATGACCTTTTGCTTTCATCCTGTATGATGTTTTTGATGTCATCCACAGCTCTTCTGGTCTTCGATCACTAGTGTATAATGTTAAGCAATATGTTCTAGAGATGGTCCCATACTTCCTGTGGGATATATTCAAGGTCATATTTTGGCTCTTGTGAACTTGTTTGCTTTAATTTTCTTCAACTTCAGCCAGAACTTGCATATGAGCAACTGATGGTCTGTTCCACAGTCAGCCCCGGTCTAGTTTTGGCTGATATGAAGCTTTTCCATCGTTTCTTCCCATATATGCAGTCATTCTGAACCTTGTGTCTTCCATCTTGTGAGATCCATGTGTTTAAAAAGTTATTTGTAGTGAATAAGTCATTGGTCTTGTAAAATTCTATCATGTAATTTCCAGCATCATTTCTATCATCAAGGCCATATTTTCCAACTACTGACCATTTCTCTTAAGTTCCAACCTTCACATTCCAATCACCAGTCATCATTAATACATCTTTTTTTTTTAATGTTTTATTGTGAATTACATGATAGTTTACATGGGAGAACTTTAGTTTTACATTCATTCCATCATATATCATCTCATTGCCATGGTTCCAATCCCCTCCATGCATCACCAACCACCCAAAGGGTATATCCCAGAAACCCATCCCCTACACTTCCCCCTCCTTCCCCCAGTTTTCGGCCCACAGTCCCTTTCCCTCTCTGGGTCCGAAGTCCCTAGTCAATCATTAATAAATCTTGATAGCATGTTTGATCAATTTCAGACTGAAGAAGTTGGTAGAATTCTTCAATTTCATTATCACTGGCTTTAGTGGTTAGTGTGTGAATTTGAATAACAGTGGTATTAACTGGTCTTCCCTGTAGGCGTATCCTACACATTATTATCCTATCACTGACTGATCTTTTTGATGACGAATGCGATACCATTCCCCTTGAATCGGCCATTCCCTACAGAGTAAACCATGATTGTCAGATTCACAATGGCCAATGCCAGTCCATTTCAGCCTGGGATATCAATGTGTTCCATTTCGTTTTTGACAACTTCCATGTGCTGATTACTAATGGATATTTGCAGCTATTTTTCTTCATTCTGAATTGTGCCCCATCAGCAAATTAAGGTACAGAAAGCTTTGCTCCATTCGTGTCTTTGAAGAAGCAGATTTTCCCCAGTCACATTTTGAGTGCCGTCCAACCCGAGGGGCTCATCTTCCAGCACTCTATCTGACAGTATTCTGGTGCTATTTATATTGTGTTCATCTTTCGGCACTATATCTGTGAATGTTCTGCTGCCATCCACAAAGTGCCTAAACTGTCAGCAGTAGTCTGTCTCTCCTTCTTCCAACTGGGGCTTGGTCTGCAAGCTCAGCTGAAACCTGTCTACCATGGGGGACTCTGCTGGTCTTTAAAATACCGGGGGCAGAGCTTCCAGGATCACAGCAACCTGCAATCCCCACAGTACAACAAACTGACAGACGGGGGGTGGGAGAGGACCCTAGGAATACCCAAATAGGAAAGGTGTCCAGGAAAGAAAGTAGCAGAGCTCTCCAAAGTCCCCACATTAATCCATGAGCAATTTGGTAAGGCACTCTCCTAGATAGAGTTCCAGAACCAATTCTCCAGACATGTTTGTGGCATGAGAACAATTCAACTTCAAAAGACAATGAGCTCCTTGGACCTAGCCTAATGTATCCTGAAGCATATAATCTCCTTCACCTCTCCCCGAGAGGGCCGAACAAGGATGCTCCAAGTGGAACAAAGCTAAGGAAGCAATACTAGTGACCCCGGAGACAGTCTATATAGATAAAGCATCGAGGAACTACCATTAAGGTAGGAAATCCATGCTAAGCAATGGATATTAGGTGTATGGATATTATCCTATCACAGACTCATCTTTTTGATGATGAATGCAATACCCTGTCAACAGCAACCTGCAATCAATCACCACAGTACGACCAACTGACAAGACTGGTGGTGGGAGAAGACTCTAGGAATGAGTTGACAGGGAAGACTGGCTCTTGGATGGGGCACATCCAACCTTGGAGAGTCAGAATGGATTCCTCCTGGCATGGGGGGTGGGGTGGGGGGCAGTGGCTAGCCCTGGGCTCAAACTTGCTGGGGGAGGAGGTGGGACCTCGGGGCAAACCACTGCAGGCAATGAGATACTCACGTCCATTTTGGAAACAAGTAACAGCTGTTGTTTGATACGCAGGAACACAGAGTCAAAAGCCAACTGGTGGGCCTGCTGGTTAAGCCGAGTGAGGGCTGTTCGAGCCACAGACAGCAGGTTATGATTACTGGTCCCCTTTTCCTGAGGGAAAAAAAATACCAAAGGCAGTTTAGTAGCCCCTGAATCCAACCAAAGTATTAGCTGGTTAAAACACGTTTGAAAAATCACTTACAGAAACACAGTGAGGGAAAAGGGCAGACCACAATGTCAAATTTTCATGGAATCCAGACCTTTTGCAGACATGGAGGCTAAAGTGAACTCCCAAAACTGCAGGTCTGAATAATCACCAAAAATGTTCCCTGAGGTCTTCTTAAAACCAAACACTAGCTTACCTAGTGAAGACAGTCAGCCTGGAACACTATGCTCTTTGAAGATCTATCTATATGAGACAACAGCCACCCGAGAGATGAGCTAGGTACATTAGGGAGCCGTGAGTTTATGTTAGTCGGGGAGAAAAAGCTCAGACAGCAATCAGTGTCACTGGGTTGTGCGTGCAGAGACTGCCCTCCTGAATGTTCTTTGCTCTAACAAGTCCTTTGCTTTCCCATCCCTACCTCTACCATTCCCTAGACTCCTTGTTTCTGCTTGGTGTGTTCTTCCGTGTCCATTCTTAGCAAAAATTTATCAAAAATGAAAAAGGCGAGGGAAGGTCTATGTAATAGTGGTTCCCAAACCTGACTGTGAATCCCCTGGGAAATATGCTGAAAAGTGCCACCCCAGAATCTGCTAGGTTGGAGCCTATTTTCCATTTACATTTGAAATTCACTTTCGCAGGTCATTCTGATACATTTGGGCCAGCATGAGCTCGTGAGCTGACACTTCAGGAGAAAGGGCTACAAGCACCCTGAGCCCACCTCTGAAGGACAGAAGAGAAGCTTCAGGAGTAAGTAAGGGTGATCTTCAGGGCCCTGGCTCTCAGCGAGCTCAGGTTAATTACGCTCGGCTGAGAATCAGAGCACATTCACCCCGTGCAAGTCCCAAGGAATTCCAAGCAGCCTGAGAAAATACGGAGATGGAAAATGTAACCCTAGTTTTGCTATTATAAATGAACCCATTACAACAAACAGACATAAAATCAGATTAGCAATAAAGATAAACAGAGTTGCTGCACTCCTAATCACAGAAGCAAGGATGAATGAACTCACAGAACTGCTTTAAGAAGTGTGTTTGTCAAGCTCAAACTCAGCCAGCTGGGGGGCCAAGGTGCAGAGGGATGGCGAAGATCCCAGCGAGTCGAGGCTGAAGCCCTAGATATGCACAGCACTACACCCGCAGAGAATCACAGGCTCCTCCAGGCCTGTGCGGATAATCTTAGACTGCGATCACTGCTGTACAAGTAGTGGGCTCTCCTCTGCCTACATGTCACCCAGAGTGAGGCTGAAAGCGGACCAGGGAGGCAGGGGACCAGTTCTCAAGAATACCTGGCTGGGACCATCAAGGGAGAAGAGCAGAGAGCGGGACCCTACCCAGAGAAGCTGTGATGCCTGAGATGGAGGCAGAGATGATGACATGGAAAGACGGAGCAGCTGGAGACTTTAGACCCAGAGAGGGAGAGCGACTGTGTGCTGATGACCGGGGGGCAGGATTGTAGAGTATACCCTGTGGTTGGTTGATGATGCATGGAGGGGATTGTAACCATGGCAATGAAACGATATACGATAGGATGAATGTAAAACTAATGTTCTGCCATGTAAACTATCACATAATTCACAATAAAACCTTTAAAAAAAAAAGAATACCTGGGACTCTTCTATAACCCTCATTCCTTTGTTGGGAGGTTCTCCTATATCTGGACCCAAAGGACTCCAAAGTTCAAAATCAAGTGCAGATTTATGGTAGACAAACTAAGGAGTTTGAACTAAAGAAACAGCTAGTGTGGAGTGCTTATCCCCACATTCTCGTGTCTCCTTGTGGATGGGGGGAACGTGTCCTAGAGAAGTACTCCTGACCTAGCTGCGCTCCTGGCCTGGCTGAGCTGAGCCCCTGGCTTTTCTGCAGCCCTTGCTCTGACTCTGGGGAAGCAAAGTGGATTATCTGAACTGAGGGCCTCCTTTAGGGGCTCTGGTTCCCAGACTGCCCTCAGTAAAATGGGTCTGCCCAGATCCACCTGCCTGTTGATGAGTTTAACTCAAGTGAAGTATGGAACCCATGTGACTGCAGACTGAAAAGCCACAGGCACCACCAAGCTTCCGCCCGTCACAATGCTCCTACCGCTGGATCTCAACAGTTTCCCACTCACTCACTCTATAGCTCCTTCAAACCTCGACGAGGAGAAAGACAAGTGGACACAGGGCCTATGTGAGTCTGACAGCCTGGATCAGGGACAAGGGACAAGCTTTCATGTACAACAATGCCATCAATCTGGTCTCATACCTTGAGGGTATAAAGTATTTCCATTAAACTGGCATATTCCACAGGGTTCTCTTTCTGAAAGTAATTATATTCTTGCCACGGATTCCTGGCAGCGCTCTTCTTATCTGTCAAGATACCCTCCTGCAGACCGGCCAGGCTCCGTGGGCAGTAGGAGTCGGAGAGATACTTCCCAGCAGTGGACAAAATTCTGCAATGAAAGTGGTGATGACCGTGATGTCCCGTGCACACTGGCATGGACCTTTCTTCTGCGACTGTTTAGGTGGCTCCTACACTAAATCCCAGGATATCGTCCTGAGGCAGACTGGGTTATGATCCACTCTTTTTAGGGAGTGAAGATGTCACTCACTACTAGCAGTGAGCTGGACCCACAGGCGTACAAGGCCACACTCGGCTCCACTTCCACCTGCCCTCTTCCTGATACGGACACACATCTGACAACTACAAGCTCCAGCACTCTGTCCCTTCCACGGAGGTCTTCTCTGATGTACAGCATCACGCTCTGCAACCGCCAAGTCGACGGGGAGCCAGCGGTGCCCCTCAGAGTTGCACCACAGTGGGCTCACCCGCTGGCCTCAGCCGGCCACACAACCTGTAAAGTTGTCTCTCTAGGTGCTACAGAGGAGAGCTCTGAGAAGCTATACCTTCCCATCTTGCTGAAAAGAGTAAAATGCCCAGAGACAGTGTTGATCAACCTAACACGGGTGGCGAAATTATATCTCTGTCCTTCCCCTTTCCTTTTCCTTAATGCTATTTTACCATCTATTCTACACATGGAAATGTGCGTGTAATGATATGAACATACGTAACCAGGGTAATATACACTGTCATATTTCCCAAATGTGACACTTGCCCCTACTAGTCCCTGACCATAGGTCCTAGTTAGAGGCTATGGTGGACACAGTGATGTGTAGGCTGCACTTGCTAGTTTAGAAGTGCTTCCGATGAGTTTGTCAAGGAATGCATGTGCTTGTGAACCAATCCCAGGGAACCCAGCCGCCTGCCTCCACCATTCGGGTCAGGTTACAGTCCTTCCTGTTGCGTAAGCCTCCTGGGAGCTTTGGTTGGGTCTTTAGTCTGCCAAGTATGCACAAAACAGATAAGTCGGGAATGTTTAAAGTATCAAGATCATAGTTAAAGATTTCAGGATAAATACAGACCCAAATGTAGGGAACTAATGGCATCTTTTTCTTATCCTGCCCTTTATCCATACATGCATCCTTAGATTTTTTAATCCTTAGCATCTCAGTTCCTTTCATATGTATTTTCCTAGTATTATGAACGAAACCTTACTGAAATGAACTCATTTCTTTATTCTTCAAAGACACGTTTTTTCATGGTCATGGGCTCTCAACTAGGAGACTGCCACCTCTAGAGCTCACTGCTTCTTGTCTGGACTACTCGGGACCTCGCATGGTCCATTCAGTTTGCCAGCCACAGGATTCGCAGGATGATCTTTCCACAAAAGCAAATCTGATGACATGTGGGTGGGCACTCGGAGTCCTCAATGACAGAATCTTCATGTCCTTCAAACATCCCCTCTTACTCATGCCTAACTGTCCGCTGCTGCCCCCACAGCCACCCCCTCATGCAGTGTGCTCACGTTGCTCCCTCAGTCTGAAATGCTCTCCCCTCCTCTGTCCACCTGCAGAGCTCCTACTTCTCCAGGACTCGGACCCAGGTTTCTCCTCTACCGAGCATTGTCTATAGCCATTCCACAAGCAAACCAATCCTCTGCTTCCAGAAGCCTCTCACCTCTATACTAACATTTATCACATGCTGTCTCATTAGTGGAATCCTGGTATGGTGCTGTAGGATAAGCACTGGTCTGCTAACCACAAGGTCGGCAGTTCAAACCCACCAGTCACTCCTTGGAAACCCTACACAGGGTCACTATGAGTCAACACTGACTTGACTGAACTTAACAAAAATCTAACCACCTCATTAGTGCTTTTGGCTGCTAATCCAAAGGATGGAGGATTCTAGTGCATCCAGAGGTGTCTTAGAAGACAGACTTGGCAATCTACTTCTGAGAAATCGGCCACTAAAAACTCCCGGGAGCAGCAGCTTTCTCTGCCACACAATCAACTCCACAGAAACTGGCCCATGAAGTGGTGAAAACAAAATCCACCGGACTTCATCTCAACGGGCCGAGCTCCCAGCACAGTGCCCGACACACGCTAACCGAGCATAGGGTACGAGGAGGCCCAGGCTATGGTAACCAGAAAGCTGCGAGCTGAGTGTTCGTCGTGGCCCTCTGGGAAGCCAGGTCTTCACTGCAATGTTTCAGACTCAGTTGGCTAGGGGCAAACTGACCTCATTATAGCCTGCCATCCAAGCCGAAGCAAAACAGGTAAGTCGGGAAGGGAATGTTTGAAGTATTCAAGATCATAGTTAAGCAAGGTTCTACTGATATCTTTTTCTTATCCTCCCTTTCATCCACAAACACATTATTTAGTTATTTAACCCCTAGTGTCTCATTTCTTCTTATGTGTATTTTTCTAGTATTGTGAACTAAACCTCACTGAAATTGAACAATTCATTTCTTTACTCTTCAGAGACACAGTTTTTTCATGGTCATGGATCTCAGCTAGGTCTTGGGGCCATCAGATGATTAAACTGTCCCTGCCCTTAAGAAGCTCAAAGGCTAATGGAGGGGTTCAGTGCAAGCAGAGAAATTCTAGTGCAAATATGCTCATTGCTTTGCTGGAAGGATGCAGTAAATGTGTACGGAGGAGGACGTGACTAACATTCCAATGCCACCCATTTCCTTAAATCATTTCCTTTTCATAAAAAGTTGTCATCTAGTCCTCAGTCATGGACACATGTACGTATATATCAGACGCCCAAAGCTGACTGTTCCATTGGTTTGTTACTCTATGACCTTACCCTGCAGAAAATATCACTGGTCCAAAAGCAAGACGTGAGCACCAGGAATGGGCTGAAGGGACACAGAGATCTTGAATCTCATCTAGGTGCCCAGTACAAGAGAAATCCCGTAGGACCACCCAACTCAGCCCCAAATCACAATATGACCCCTCTGCAAAGAGGTGACCTTTAGACTCCGATAGCCAACGTCACTCTTGTCATTAAATCAACATGTGGAGTGGGCTGAGCCTGCCACTGTGGGAATGGTCTCTGGTAAGAGTCTGAGTTCTGCCAGTGACCTTGGCAGCGAGGTAAGATAAGTTAAGGCCCTGCATGGGCTGGGAGGCCTCCCTACTGGTAACCCAGGGACGACTATGGCATGCTTCCTGCTCTGAGCTCTGTGTCTCTTCTCTTTCTTCCTGGGACCCAGCTCTGACGGCTCTGCTCATCCTTTCCTGCCTTCTCCTCACAGACCCTCCCTACCAGGTCTTTCTTCCCTTACCCTCTAGAACATAATATCTTCCTTCATGAAAAGATGAAGGAAACTCTGTATGCCTCGATAGGGAAAGAAGACATCTGAGCTATGGTGGAAACAAGAAAAAGGGCAAGTTTCAGAAGAACAATGTATTATTGTTTTTAAATGTGCAAGTATGAAGGGGGATTCAAAAAGTTCATAGCAAAGTGGAATTAAAAGATAATGGGAATTTTAAAACTCTGCTGTCTGAAACCCTGAGTCTGAATGGGAGAGGGGACTCTCCCAAGACAAGCCCTGGCAAGACGGGCCCTGGCAAAGATCAGAATAGAAAAAGGGGAAAGAAAGGGCTTTTCCTGAGGCTGACTTCAGAAATGCCCCTTTGAAACAAAAGCTCTTTGGCTGCAGAGAATTCTGCTCCAGAACCCAAAAGGCAGACTGGTTAGATTAATCCTAAATCTTCAGGCTGGCCAACGGACTTAACCACCACTTACAACACTGGTTTTTATTACAAAATTTCTTCTTAGTGCCAACAGTTAACTGACAAAGAAGCTGTTGGAACCGAGCCCATTCATAATTTGGAGACAGTATGTATGTTTCCTCATCTGAGCTGAAACCTCTCTATCTAATTAGAATTGCCATGTGGAATGGAGCCTGGCCCTTTTTTGTGCTCAGTAAGTGTTGAATGATGACAATCATGACAACTTGTATCTACGTACAGACCATCCCCAAGTTGTGTGGCTGTCAGGTCTGACCATATGCTGTTCTCACTGTGATGTGTACCGGATCAGGTTCCTCCCCAAACAAGACTGCTGGGGGCTCTTGGACAGTTCTCTCTCCTACCTGTTTGCTAGCTGCTGCTCCAAGTCTCCACACTGCCGCAGAAGCTCTCCACAGGTGGTTATTATCCTAAACAAGACAAAAGAGCACAATTCAAACAGAAGTATCTGGAATGCTGACATTTTCAGGACATTGTGTCATTCAGTACTGCTAGGTGGTGCTGGCTTCTGGGGACATAGCTAGCCTATGATGGCTTACTTGACAAGTTCCATCAGTTAGTGGTGAATGCTGGGCCCTTCTACTTCTCTTCAGGCCACAAGTTTCTCTGGCCTGAGTCATAATTCTATCAAAGCAATCTCAAATAATTGTACATTTCCAAAATACTGAGGTGCTTTGGGATGTTATTCTTGAAAAAAGGGGTTGCAAAACTGAGGCATCTCAAAATTTTAAAAATCAAAAATTATTATTTTATAGATTGTTGTTAAGTGCTATTGAGTTGGTTCCGATGCATAGAGACTGTATAGGGTTTCTGAGGAACACCTGGTGGGTTTGAACCACTAACGTTGGGGTTAGCAGTCCAGTGCTTATCCTACAGAACCATACCAGGGCTCAATTTACAGATGAGATCAGACATCTGCTAATTTCAGGAGAGGGTCTTCCTGAGAGCATGAAACACAGAGGCAGAAGAATCCATCTGCTTCTTGGACATGAGCCTGAATGAGCATCACATCTCTATTTAATAATCCTTGGATTTTCAAGTAATTTTAACCTGGCCTCAAACTCTAGCTACTGAGTCCTTCAACACCAAACTCATAATGCCAGGACAAATCCAGGGATTAAAAATATCTTAAATCTAGTTAACTTTTAACTTCCTCTAAAAGTGCCTATCATCACCAAGGGATCTAAGCAGTCCATCATAAGAAAGGTTTATGAGAAAGTAAAATACTCCACTCGCCTCCGGTGCACCAGAACGACCTTGTCCTAATATTCTCCTGAACACCTGCCCAGCACAGATGGTAGGAGATATAGTTAGCATCTAAAACCTGACATTTCATTAAAAAGAAACAAAAAACAAAGTTAAAAGTGACAACAACCAAAAAACATATGTATGGTTATATGTCTGTATATATGTATGTATGTAAACATATACACACATGGAGTAGTCCTGGCGTGGTGCTGTAAGATAAACACTGGATTGCTAACGGCAAAGTCAGTGGTTCAAACTCACCAGCCTCTCCTTGGAAACCCTATCCAGGATCGCTACAAGTCAGAACTAACTCGATGGCACTTAATAAACCTAACGGTTGGCAGTTTGGACTCACCCAGCACCTGGCAATCTGTCTCTGTAAAGATTCCAGAGAGGAAAACCCTATGGCGAAGTTGGACTCTGAAACACACATGAGTAACACACACGGTTTGAACTCAGTTCAGTGGCAATGGTTTAATGGCATCACTGTTAGGCCACTTGGGAGCAGTAAGAACCATGACAACACACGCCCAATCCAACAGGAACCTCAGCTACTTGGCTCCCAGGGATTACGGCCTTGTATGAACATAGACTTGGTGGTGTCACAACTTCTAGTTTGTAGTAGGTGGCATTAGAAATCTGGGTTTTTATGTCAAATTTGATTTTTTAATGTTGCCACTTAATTCAAGCAAAACACATCCCCAGGTCAGCTCCAGCCACAGGCCAATTTTACACTCTCTAGGTAGATGTACAAAAGCCCAAACCTTCTCAGGCCACTGCCACCAGGCCTTGCACTGGGATAACAGGGTGTCTAAAGTGGCTATTCCTCCAGTGCCTTACCCTCATCTCTCAACCTGGCCTTTGCAGGCCATCTGACGTTACCACTGCGTACGCTGCTTACCATTGAGTGGTACTAGATCCAGACACAGGGCCCGGATGGCTATGCTTTCTCAACAAGCTGAGCTCTAAGTTATTTCAGATCTGCAAAAACCAGGAGGCGAGCAGGGGGAACCTCAGACCAAATATAAACTAAGTCACCAAAGAAGACGAGGAATCTTAAACTTTTTAAAAAAATATTTGAAGAATCGCAGGGGGTCTTTTGGGGTTGAGGTTTGGCTTGGTTGGTTTTTTACTTTACTGGTATAGTTTTAGAGTATTTGTGGGGTTTTTATAAGTTTTTATTGGGAATTGAGTGATAGTTTACATGGGAGAACATCGGTTTTACACTCATTGTTTCATTGCAATGATTATAATCTCCTCTGTGCATCATCATTCAACAGTATTTGCTTCTATTCCCTCTGTTTTTTTGTTGTTGTTTT